TGCAGTAATTACGGATATATAATAAATTATGAATAATTATCAAAAAACATTCTTTTATCATTCAATATTGCAATACCGATCAGATTTGGTAGAAATCTACAAGATTCATACTTCATCAAAATGACTATGGAAACCTTGCAATGTCCTAAACATATTATTTTTCAAATTTGCGGAATTTAATGAAATAGGATAATCTGCTCATATGAATAAAAAAAATCTGTTTTGTTAAGCTTTCTTCTCATTCGATATTTGAATATGTCTTTGTATTTTTATGACAATTGAAAAGTGTTTTAAAAAGTTTAATGGATAATTTAGCATATATTTGTTTTTAATTATTCGCATCAAATCGGTAAAAGTGATACGGCTTCCATAAGCTTGAAAAGACATTCAATCTAACATTCAAATGTAAAAAGAAGCATTTCACGTGTGTACGACGCATCTCCAGGCATTTTGACATACAACCTGTGAGTATCGGTTAAAATGTTTTTTTTTTTTTTTTTTTTTTTTGATTGAATGAATGTGTGCTTGGCCACAAAACTTTTAACTTGTTTAATTGCATGAGTTGTACCAAATGAAACATAGATGCTGGGAAGCCATTGTATAACATGTTTTATATTGGTTTATCAACGTAATTAACATAAGTGTTGCAGCAGGTGACTTGTCGTATGAAGACAGTAGAGAGAGCGAGAGAGAGGGAGAAATGGAAGAAATGCAGAAGTAAAAGAAGAACTCAAGTTTCGAAATGCCTGTGCCGAGATAAAGAACTATCTTTCTTTCACTGTCCGGTTTATATTACCATCTAACAAGACTCCATTTGAAGTGTCTTATCTTATTTTGAGTATCACATTGCCTGACTTATCTCTTTTGCAAATGAATTCAAAATACAACTTATTGCCATCGAATAAAACGATCGTGTCTGTCGACTATGAAGTTAATTGTTGGCAAACGCAATAAATAACTTGTAATTGGTTTAGTCTAATAGTGCAAATCAAGGGTCTACCATGTCATTGTTTGCAACAAATTCTTAACTTCTTCGTTTTGGTATTTCATTGCGAAAATGCTGATCAACGAAACTGAAAGGCATAGAATTTACCCGTATGGGAGGTCCATGAAATATACATTGTGTTGCTGCTTTTTTACATCAAAAGAAAATACACGTTTTTAAGACAATCCATTAAAAATTTAGTATGTAGAAGAATTTCCACTAACATACAGAGAAATAATCTCAATTTTTTCTTAAATGAAACCGAAAATGTGAGTAAATTCTCATAGGTAGTATTTTGGAATTTATTTATAGTGTCAATTATTAATCAAATTATGTCATACATACATTTAGTAACTTAATTTATGTATATTACAAATTGAAAACCGCACAATCGCTTAAAAGATCACCATTCAGAAATCAATATGTTCGGTTTTCACCTCATCACCACAAAAGAAGAAATGAATTCAAAAGAGTCAGACTAAAACTCGAGCATTTGCAGTTCAATGCGTTTTTGAATGCAATATTATTTTATGAATGAAAACTGAAGAAATAAAAAAAACCAATGAGAAACATGGTACGAAGCAAGAAAAGAATACGAAAATAATGTAGTGTAATACATGCAAATTGTGTGATTTATAAACAATAATTATTCGTACTCCTTAATTCAACGAAGCTTGAAAATGTACTTGGGACATTTTTTCATCTATTGGACAATTAAAGAAGATTTGTAAAACATAAGAAAGTCTTAAATGAAGATCTTTTTACTCTAGTTTTCATATTATGTGCTCGTCGAGTGTCCACACTCAATACAACGACACGCGCTTGTTCTCGCTTTCGTGATTATACACCGAACCGTCCAAGTGCTAAACATAAAATATCTATCGATTTAGTCCACAGCTCCCCCTACTGACTTTTATATTTATTATAATCATTGTCTTCTAAATAATTTTAATTTTCCGAAAGTTCCGTTGCATTTTCTTGCAACAAATTATTTCATTGATTGATGTCACTTTTTTTGTTTGATGACATCACAATTCCATTTAAAAAAATGATCAAAAACGTCAAGTGCAAATAAAAAGTAGAAAATATGTAACTTTTTGTGAAGATAGTTAGCGAGATTCATAAAGTAGTTCATTGTTTTGCGCTATGATCGAATCTAAAAAAACACACAGAGAAAAAATCATTCGAATATGGTCCGTGTGCTAAGGTCTAAATGTGTATTCATACGTATTGATGGTTTTTTCTTTTGTTTGGCCAATGTTTGGTTGTGCTTTCTGTGTTTGTATTTTATTTTGAATTTATTTGTTTTGGTACGATTTGATGGTAACCACCGAAACGTCAGAACGCATACAAGACGGTCGCCAATATGACGATGGAATTGCATACACAAGCGAACGTACAGCAATTGAAACATACACAACGTTTAACATTTTCGTTACGGCTTGTGAAAAGTCCGTATGCAAATCGCTAACAAAAGGAACATTATGAAGAAAGAGAAAATGAAACGAAACACAGAGAAAAAAAAGCGGACACGACAAGAGCTCATGAGGTAAGAAAACCAACTACCAAACAGCAAATAATCAACAACAACAATAAATGCAATGCACTTTAAACATGCATGTTGCTCGCAAGAGTGAAAATGGAGGCTTGGGAACGAAAATCAGTACATGCTTAATATTTGTTCAGTCGTGCAACACTCACTAAAAAGTGAAGTTGAACAGAATATTCGAAATATAAACACTGGATTAGATAAAATATTTGACCATTTGCACACAATTATTGCTTAAGATTTTTAATAATTCACGAACTTCCGCCAAAGTCAAATCATTTAGAATGTTCAATTTATTCACATGTTTTCTGTCCACAGATTTCTATGTCTACCGCACCTACTGTTTGTGACCATCTTATTTCTCAATAAACTTTTAATATCAAGTCTACAAATGACCATCTTCCTACTTTTATAATTGTTGTTGTTTTTTTTCGAACACCCTACTGTAACTATAGTTTGAAGCACACAACCTAAATTTCTTGGAGACTCTCATCAAAGATTCGATGTGATTATGAACATGTGCAATTAACATTTGAATAAAAAAAACCTGATTTCATTTTTTATTCATTTTAATCTCTCAATCTTTCTCCTTCACTCTCTCTTCTTTCTTTTCTCTCTCACTCTCTTTCTCTTGTTCCTTTACAAATAATGCTATTTACTTGGTCATTTCAAGAATAATTAGAATATAAGAAAAATGCTCGCACTTAACACCGCCTGTAGCACCGATCACATTTGAAAATAAAATGCATGAATGTGCATAATCATAGCGTTTAATAAATACCATGATTCTATTGTAAATGGTGACAATATAAAAAAAACATTCTAAATGAAGGAGATGAAGTAGAAATTATGGGCATAAAAAAATAATATAGTTCACCTTCATGTGCTCCAAATTCGAGTGTAAGCCGTATATTAATGAATGAACCCCACGCACATCACAGCTATGCTGTTAAACGGGAATGCAAAATACGTCACTAGGGAACAAAATCAATTTGTTTGCACCGTTTATGGTAAGTTGGCCAAGATAAATGAAAATCCTATAACCTGCGTGAATTATACACCAACAATTTCGAATATATATATATTTTTTGGTTCAAACAACAAAACGTCATTTTCATTGAATTTTTATATTAAAATGATAAGGCAAGAAATGCAAATACAAGCTGATCAAGTGTACACAAGTAGAATACATTTTGCGGCAACAACGATGAGATCAAGCCTCGAAAAATGACGGATATACATATAGCCCAGATGTCTGTTTTTAGGTCATTCATTTGTGAGTTATATATACTGTATGGGCGCGCTCATGTTTCCGTGACGATACCGCACAAGTTGCCGATTATTTGAAGCAAACTTTACGTTCTCGTAATACGATAGGACGACACAAAATCACAAAAGAATATTTGTCACGGTGAAAAACAGGCTTTGTCAGGCCTGTTATGAAAGTCGGGACAATATGTAATAAAATACCGACGAAAAATACTGCCGTCATTTTATCCAGCAATTTTTCACTCGTATTCCATGTGCTACCAATTTATTGAATGCATCGTGTTTTTTTTAAAGAGTCTTTTTAGAGCAGATTTAAAGTGAACTTTATGAGATATGATTCCGCGGAATGGCACACGCGTGTTTAGTACAATAGTTTAGTTGTTGCTTTGAGTTGCAGACATATTTTCTAAATATAAAAGTATTGGGAAAAATTATTCATAGACATTTATGCACTTGGCGCTAGTCCAGACGGGCGTTTCTATTTGACCCAAATTAATAACAAACATATTGCGGCATACACGAAAAAAAAAACGAAAAATTGTGAACGAAGCATTTACATCGCCAACGGCATATGAGCAAATGGTTTTTATGACAGCATCCAAAATCTCAAACAGCAATGGAGTCAACCGTGCAAATATGCCAGCCATAATAAACAAACTCACATGAAATGATCAGTAATATATGAGACAAATGTGTATTTGGAACATCTGCACATTAAAATATTTTCAACAGTAAAAAAAAAACATCGACATATTTTCTAAAACAAACTGAGTAACAAGAGTTGATTTATATTTATTTCGACAAATTGACAGCAAAATTGCTTTGTCCGCTGAATACAGGATAATATAAACGCAATGTTCAAAGCTGATTGATGTTTACATGTCGTATAATTTTTTTTTTTAAGTTGACCACATACAATTAAAAGGCAGTTCGTGACTACATAGTTGGCAAACTACTTTGGAAATATTATCTATATTTTTTTCGCACATATGTATTTTAAATCATTAAATTTATTCATTTTTTCGGATATAATAAATAAATGATAAAAAATTTTATTTAGTTGAAACTTTAACGAATGTTTCTAATGTGTTTGTTAGTTTGTGTGTGTATTATGACAGCAATGACGCAGCTAACTTCATGCCAAACTGTCATTTTGAATTGAAAAAGAAGTAAACTGCTTTCATTCAACAACTGCCACTTTTGTTTGTTCAAGTGAAATATATTTGGATTGTGTGTGTATTTTTTGTTTGTTTCATTTTCATGGAAAACAGTTGAATCGAAAAAATGGATAATTTCGAGAGTTTTAGTGAAGATTTGATACCGCGCATTGTGCCACAACCAACTTTGCATCCGGTTTTGGTAATTTATTTTATTTATTGCTTGTTTAGCCTAATAATAACACTGTGCTCTCTTCACATATAGGATATGTCAAAGCCAATTGTTCCCGAAGTGTCTTTGATTTTTGATGATCCAAAAGTAGTTTTAGGCAAAGGATCACAACCCAAAAGTTATAAAGAATGGAAACAGCAACAACAGATACCGCTACAACATCAACAAGAACCCGCCACTGCAAAATTTGCATCAAGCCAGATATCGGCAACAGATCGAAAGAAAATTGTCACATTCGATTTGCCAAAGGAGACTCCGATAAACAAAAATGTATTATTACCATCAAATGAGAGTACTCCGATCGCTGTGTGTCAACAATTGGACCTAAGTTTATGTGAACCAAGAAAAATTAACGATACCGGTTGTCAAATGGTTAAACCCAACTATTTAACAGAAAGGCGATCTTGCCCAACTATCCAAACAAACACCAACAATTTTACGCAACAACAAAAACATAACCAAATAGTGGCTGCACATCAATTCATTGCGAACGAAAGTTGTACACAATTACCAATGAACCAGTACATGAATCAAATACCGAATGCCAATCAAAATTTGAACCAAATTCCCATAAATCAGAACACGCCAAACGGTATTACGCTGAACGATGTCTATCAATTGCTACAGAATATGCAGTCAAATGGTCAATCATCATCACCGATAAATAATATGCAAAACGATTTCAATCGATTGAATGATGTACAAAATCAGCATGGTGTTTTTGAGTTGACACCCAAAAAACCGTCGAACAACGGTGAACCAACGATAAAAGATATGTTCGGTGTGATTTTGCGACAACAAGAACAATTAATGAACATACAAAATCAGGTCCATATGTTGCTTGAACGATCATCGCATAATTATATAGAGGCTAGACATCAAACAAATAATAATAATAATCAAATGATGATCGGTGATAATAATGGCAATCTAAATCGGAATGATGCACGTACAAAACAGGTTGGCGTTATGACTAGTTTAGAAATAAATATGCAAAATTTTAAAGCGGGTGAAAGTCAATCGGTGGACAATTTTAATACACCACAAAAAGTGATAAACCAACAAATTGTTAAATCATGCGGATGCATGTGCAATTGTGAAAAACAAAAAGAGCCACAATCATCGGATTCCGGTAGTAATGATGACAATTTTGATACGAGTCCAAAACATGATGATGGCACACAAACGGGATGGACATTCTATGGAAATATATTGAATCAAGTAAATGACGTACTGCAAAATACATCACCAATATCAAATACGAAAACTAACGATGCTCAAAGTCCACAGATTAGAGCTAATATTGAAAATAATTTTAATGGTGAAAATCGACGCCATTCAAATATTATGCCGAACATTCGAAGTGCCCAAATAAAACAAGTTGGCTTTAAAATTGACGACGTGAACATTTCCGCTATGACCAAAAGGTAGGTTATTTATGGTGACATTATTCATTACAATTTGTTATTTGTTTTGGCATTTTTATACTATTCACATTACAACGTTTTTGTGAGTCTCGAATTTAAAAATAACCAATTTTTTTTTGTTATACTTTCAGAATCACATTTGGTTCTTCGTCGAATGAAATTCTTCGATCGCCTGCCGATAGAGTTGCACCAAGCGATAAAAGTATGATGATGAATGCATTGGCTATGAAATATCTACCGTGTGATTTAAATAATTCGCAATCACCGAAATTCGTATCGAATGAGGTCAATCATACAGCAACGATGACAAACACGCATCACAATGCAACCGTATCAACCACAAATGGACATTTAATGAGTCGTCCAAGTGAATTTGATAGCAGAAATACAACCACCGATATGTCAATGACAAGCTACCGCTACATGGAAAAATACGGTCTTCTCTGATTCTTCAACCAATTGATTTTAACTATATTTTTTTTTGTTTAGAAAATGTATCAGTTTACGTAAATTTACATCTGATAAAAAACGGCACAGTGTCAGTAGTGATTTTGATTCTTTTTTATAAATATATAACTATAGTTCAATTTTAATTAATAATTATAATTGTTACACTTACTCTGAATGGCGAATGAGTTTGAGATGATTGTCGGCAATATTCCCAATTGTCTCTGCGAATTAAAATAACAAAATAAATGATTATATTTATATAAAGAAAATATTCACAAAGTATAACAAATCACATACTTTTCATTGTCGATAGCGACATTTTTCGCTGTTCCATCATGAATGCGCACTTGACTTGGTAAAATCTCTTCGAATGCATCATTATCCAAATGTATCGGACTTAAGGCATGACACGGCTTTCCAAGAACATCATCGATATTTTGATGTCGTGATATGAATAATTTTTCGAAATTTGATTCAACATTGCTTAAATTAATATTATCATATGGCGATGAACCGTTTTCGATGCGATTGTTCATGTCCTCTAAACCTTCTGGGCTGGCACGATCACCAAGTGGTATATAATTTGCATTAATATCATACCGAAATCTGTCTGTATATTGATTTTGATCAAGATGTTGAGCTTGTTTCTGTGTCTGTGCTGTTTGAGTTGTTGCTCGTTTGGATTGCAGTGATTCGTTAATCGTTGCCCAAAAGTCAACATCTTCATTGTCATTTTTCTCATTATTATTGGTGTCATCACAATCGAATTCGTGTGTTTTTTCCATTGGAACGGTGTCCGTATTTTCTTCGCACAGCCACCATGCACGCTCTCCCGATTCGATTTTCTTGATTTTAAATGTAAATTTGGAGGCGTTATCATTTTCAGTATCAACTGCCTCTAGAATATCGTTTACACTTTCTTCTGTATCCTCGTCAAGCCACCAAGCTTTGTCGCCCGAACTTACGTGCGTTATGCAATTTTTTTTCATCGCATCACTATGACTATTTGAATGATCCAACATCCACCATGGGATAGCTGGAGTCGATTGATTCGTGTCTACAGCATCTACACTATTATTAATTCGTGTCATTTCGTTATCACTCTGATTCAATGTAACATCCTCGGCGATGGTATCGTCATTCTCCATTTCATTGAGCCACCATGGCAATGGTAGTTCATTGTCGGAATCGATGTGTCTCAATTGGTCCTTCATATTTGTTGTATTTTCGCTTTGGAATTTATCAAATTGAGTGTCGGTCGTTTGTTCGTTTAGCGTTGTATTAATCCAATTCGATTCGTCGGCCAAATAGTTATTGCTATTTAGTAATTTTGAGCCGTTCGATATCGTTGTCGTTGTCGTTTGATTAAGCAAAGAATCGATTAATGTGTCTTGCTTAATGCTATCGTTTGTACTAATCATGTTGTCGGGCTCGGAGCCGCTGTGACTTTCGCTGAGGTATTGCGATTTCGTTTTGAATATTTTTGTTACGGGACCAAGGACGCGATTCACAATACTTAATTTCGTATTATCAATTTTTGCAAATGATTCATTCGAATGCGGTGATGAGTCTTGTGTAGTTAATGTTTGACTTTGTACCGCATCGCTTGGCTTCGTTGTATTTTCACACATAACGGCATCGCTATTTGATTGCATTGATTCCGCGCACCCATTTGATGCCGCTGTGATCGGTGCTGTTGTTGACGACGATGACGAAATTTTTAATTTCATAAAATTTTTCATCACATCATCGGCATTGCTGCCGCTTGAATAACTCGTCTCTGAGCTCACACTTGGCGATCGATCCGATCGTGAGAACGGCATTTGATTTGATACCGATTTTTGTTGTAGTTTTTTATTATCCTCGCTGTCTGTGCTTGCACTGGACGTTCGAGATTTGCGCGGTCTATCGGTCTGTCCAACATTCAATGCTGATTTACGGAAATCTTTGTTGGCCCATTTTGAATTGGTTGTACTACTGGCCGTTGATGATGAACATGATGCCGATATTACTTTTGTCGGTGATTCCAATTTCGGTGGCTGCGGCGGAAGAAGTGCTTTACTGTTGTAGACTTTTTGCTTTGTCGGCGATGACGATGTACTCTTTGATGTTGGAACTGGTGGACTTTTGGATTTGGGCTTTTCACTTTTTGACGTACTTTTTATTGAATTGCTTCGCGAAATCGATGACGATTTCTTTGAATCAACCGAACTTTCTCGGGATGATTTCGATACACTTTTCTCCGGTGATTTTTCAACACTTTTCTCCGATGATCCACTATCTGTGGATTCTTTGGCATTTTTGCTCGTATTGCTGTATTTGGACAGTGAAGATGATGCTGAATTTGATGACATATTTAAACGTGAATAGCTCACTGAATTGTATTTATTATCCATATATGATGGCCACGGCGTTGTTGATCGGGCGCTGCTGAAACGAGAATATTTTGTCGTATCGTCCATGCGATCAGATTGAATTTCTTTGTCCTCAGTCAATGCTTTACGTTTCGGTCGCATGATCGTCTTTTCAATGGTCTTTGCAATATCAGCTCTTCGACAACGTGTGTAATGAGTTGTACTCGTAGAGCATAAGTTGGGTGAAGTTCCACGTGTAACAACATTCACTTCAATCATTTCCACATTTGCTTCGGGAAGTGATTCGATGGTGCTGCTCATTTTTGTTGTTTCATCGATCGATGAAATATTTTCCGTTGATAATTTGGCATTGTCTTCATTCTGTTTGACATTCTGACGATATGTTCCAGCGACATCGCTACCGTTTAAGTATGAAACGGCTGGACTTGTTGAACGACTTCGGAAATTGTTTACTTGCAATTTATTTGAGCTCCTTGGATAAAGTTTACTGTATGATGAAGACACGTAACCCGACGATGATGTATATCGATCCTTGGCCGGTTCACACGGACTTGCATCTCTTGATTTTGATGTAGAGTACGAACTATTAGAAGAGCTAACATCACGAATTCGCACCTTGGCTACAGTTATTGATGGTCGCGTTATGGTCGACAACTGTTCTTTTGCCTTCGTTTTACTTAATAGATTTTCCGATGGTGTTGAACTTTGGCTATTCTTGGTAAACTTATTTTTACTTGAATTGGTTACATCGTTCGATATCGATGGCTTTACAGCCACCTTTTTTATCGTTCCCGTGTCTTTGGTGGCCGGTTCTTTAGTTGATGTTAGCCAACGACTCGTATAGCTTGGCACAACTGGAGTATCACGTTTAACACTGCGATAGGTGCCACCCGAATAAGTTGGACGATATGATGATGGCGATGATAACGATCCAAAACGTGGGGCTGCCTTTGAGTCGGACGAACTTCCAATGACTTCATCACGCGATGAATACTGAAAAAAGAAGAAAAAAAATAATAATTATTCAATTCGAACATTCCCTTGTAAAAACAATAAAAAAAAACAATCAATAAATTCAAACAAGATTTAATGACAGACCCACTTAAATGACAAATGATTACAAAATCCAAATAAAAATTATAAAACAATTTAATTTACCCGACTGGCAGCAGGAGATGTTTTTGATGATAGATATGGTGACAGATTTGGTTTCCATGATGATACCTAATTAATGACAAATGTTACGTTTTAACAAAATAATGTGAAGTGAAGTGATGATTGATTTTTTAGACAACTCAATAGAACATCAAGTGAATTTTATAGCATGTGCAATGATTGCAGCACTCATATACAGTACAGAACACGATGTTTCCAAATTCAATTGAAAACACTATAGAAATCAGCAAAAACAGACTTTTGCTTAAAAATAGATAAATAAATAAGTGTTTTCGATGGGCAAAGACTCTTGAATTTGATTCCGACATGTTGCCGATTGAAAGTATCTTGAAACAAATGATCAAAAAGCCAATTTCTAATTCTGTATTTGTTGATTTGCAACACAATCTGTAATTTCTATATAAATTTAGGCCCAATTTGTTTTAGGTAAGCCCAATTTGATTCGATTGAGTTCGATTTTTGAGGTTTTTAACCCGATTTTGGGTTTATCCCTTTTGCTCTATATGATCGATCGCTCAGTTCAATCTGACCCAATAATGTTGGCACCCATTCTTCTTGCCATTGAAACGAGTCGGTCAACGCGTGTGATAATAACGCATAGTAACTATGGCTGTATACATTGTCTTTTTTCAAATCAAAACCACATTGATTGAGTTTCGCCTAAATAATTCTATACAATTCGATCGCGTGAAAAGTGAAATAACTTCTGTCGAAAGCACTTTGCAATCTCTTTTTCAAAATCATGGAGCATGAATATGCGCCCATACAAGTACATTTTAGAAGTAATTAGATAAATATATATTTTTTTCTTCGTTTTTCATTGACTTGCTTAGTAGTGTTCTAGAATATATGTTCTATTGCAATTGTTGTTCTCATTATTGTTGCTTTGAAGTGACAAAACCACGAAATTCTTTACGTGGAAATGCATCGAAATGTAAGAAAGAAAATAGAAATGACAGAAAATAAAATGTAATCTCAACGTTACGATCGACGCATATTTTTGTCAAAGCATGCATTTAACTTTGTGTTTTTGGTCGGAATACACTCAAAATAGACTGAGAAGCGAGAAGAATGTGCTCTATATAGGCTAGTTTACTTCGAATACATCCTTACTAAAGAAATGTGTTCTTTTTTATTTGACGATTTTTTGTAAGAAAAAAAAATCAGCTCCCGAAATTAAATAAAAATGAGCAGCAAACGATTTTACTGTTAAACATATTTCGGATGAGTAACTAACAATTGGTTTCACTTAAAGTGTGAATGATGTGTCATAATGTGTCCAAAGAAATAAGGTTCCAGCAATTGGAATGAATTGTTGTTTTCAATGCAAACAAATTAAAATTATAAAACCAAATCGAAAAAATGTTCCGAATTTTCCAATATTCATTTTCAATTCAAATTATTCTGTTCACTTACATATCCTTTATACGAAGACATAATGATGCGTATATAATATCGTATCAATTACACCGTTATATATTTTGTTTATTTCTTTTCTTCACACAACTCACATCGTTAAGTCATATGGGTGTTCTCTCTTTTTTCTCTCACACACTATTGAATTTTTTCTTTAAAAAATATTTAACTGTATAAGCTGATGTCAACACTTGTTTCTCTTTAGCTCACCATCAGTCATGCACATATATCTACTACTTGTATCATGTAACTATTTTCCACTGTTTCACAATTTTCCATTGGCAAAATGAATTTTATATTATCATTTTACTTTTCAAAGATAAGAAAATAATTCACAAAAACCACAAAATTTGTTCCTGATCTATATAATTTACACGAATTTGGAAAAAAAAAATGGAAATGTTTTCTCTCTAATATTTTGTTTTGATTAACTTGCGCGAATGAATATTTGCTGTATGCTAAAGGAGTTCACAGCCGAAATAACAACAAAATCGAAAACAAAAATGATTAAGAAGTGAATGAGCGATTTTGAGCATTACGCGCGATCGGTTGGATACACTTTTCCGGCGTTTTCAGACGAATGTGGTTATTTTTAACAATTTCTCAGTGCGAAGAAAAGTTGGTTACATTTTCTTAGCTGCAAGCGGGCTAGATAAATAAAAAAAAGCAGCATATACAAGCATTTGTTATATATATTTGTTGTCTCTCTCACTGCGATTTCGTGCGACTTACTAAATACACATATATTTTCGTAGTTTCTTTTTACAATACTATAGTTTGTGTGTTTGCCGTTTTCGGTAGATTAAAAAATGTTCTATATAACACACACTATACGTATGTGTGCAATGATAGACATACAAATTTGAATATCTCGTCTACGTGCATCCACAATAGAAAATCCAATCGGTGATCGTATAACGCAACGAACTACTTTCATTATTATTGCGATATATGTACGGTATAATTTCGTAAATAAATAAATTTAAATTAAATCTTCATCGTTTACACATACACTCGTTGATCTCAATCAGAAATCAAGAAAAACGTCGATTGTTTTCAATTTATCTCTTTATCTATTTTCTTAAAGCACATTGTTAAAAATTTTTTTTACATCAACATGTGCTGATTTAAATTTTTAGCGTGTTTCAGACATTTCGGTAACACTTTTTGAAATACTCATTACTTTTCTGGCGCCAGATTGATGAAATTCTACATCAAAATTATTTCGTGACCAGATGCAAATAAGCTCAAAAATTGCGGTTTGAATTGTTAGTTTTGAACATTTCTAATCCGCATCGTCATGATTTCTTTTTGTCAATACCAGTCCGAGAGAACATACTAGACATAATCGCACACATCATTCAAATGATAGTTTTTGCACACCTTAAATTACAGAAAAATGATAAAAAAATTCTTTTTCTATCCCCAGCTTGAAACCCCATTTGGATGTACTTGGTCATTATTGTTGCATTTTTTGATTTGACTCACATTTCAGCGGTGAAAATTACACCTTTTATTTTATTTGGGTTAATATTGACAGTGATTACAATGATTGTTAACACTGCACATGTACTCAGCAAAAACCGAAAGTATTCAAATTACTTTTAATATTTATTACCCAATTCGTTTGAAACCCCATTCGATATTCATCCGTATTTTTGGAAGGTAATAAAAAAATTCATTCAAACTGTATCATGACATCTCTTTAAATTTCAAATGTCTAGATATCGTTTTGAACCGAACATATAGTATTTGTCCGGGACTTCATAAATTTAACAAAACAAATTAATCATTTTTTTCTGCCACATTTATTATTTATGCAGGATATCAAAGAACTCCCGGCTTTAGCATATGATTTGCACGAATAATTTATTCTATAAGCAAAATGTTTGCATAGAAGTATGCAGAATAGTGGGAGTATAGGTTAATAAAAACATATACCAGTGTCTTGTGAGATTTTTAAATGAAACTTGAATAAAAATTGAAAATTCTCAGTATCTATCTTTGATTAGAAAAAATAACGAGTTACGCTCTCGATATAAATTCACTGAGACTTTGAATTAAAAGCGAAAAATGTTTGGCATTTAAATTGGGATTTAGAATAACATCTCAAAATTGCAGAGATTCTGGTTCACGCGGTTTTTAACAAATCACTTAAAAAATCGAATAAGGCGAACACATTGTTTACATAAAATGTGAAGTGTCAAGCGGAAGAAAATCATGCATAACTTTCAATAGCACATATTCATTATTATAAAAATGTAAAAAACGTAAAAAATGACAACAAGTCTCACAAGGAAATAAGTTGAGAAAATAAATATTTTGGGAAATGGTTCAATTAAGATATAAATTAAATACTTTTTTTTTATTTCAAATTATTGGCCCAAGTCCCATTGAAAAGTTGTACGCAATCGTGGTCCTTTGCGGTAGTTCCTATGAAGGTTTGATTCCATTCATACGATTAACAAGAAATGGAAAAAAGTCGAAATTCAAGCTTTATAAAAAATAAAAAAGCTTCCAAATGGAAGCCAAAAACATTCACCAAAAATATTAGCTTGGAAGCTTTTCGAGACAAAAGTTTCTAGAGTTTCTAGCAGAGGGCATCAAGTAGAACATATCATTTGAAAGTAAATTCCACTGAGAAAAAAAAATCGGAAAAAAAATTCCGAAATTCTGTTGCGATCTGTGGGTGGAATTGTGAGCAAAACGCCATGAAAAATATCATCTATTACGAAATAAATTCATCAAGAGATGTGCATTTTTCAAATGTCGCGGAAATGTTTTTTATCGCAGAAAGAATAGTTTGGCTGTGATATCTATTTTTAATTCAAACATTGTTTTTCATCACATTTCTACGATACTACCGCTACATATTTTGGCCATATACTTGATCATTTGTAAGATGATCATGAGTAAATTCCAAAATCGACCTTGTACTAATTTTGAATCGATGTTTTTCTTGCACACAACATGCTCGCAACGGAAATAAACAATTGTTTTTCCTAAAACACTGTTGCTGCCCGTTTTCGAATGTAATAAAATGAAGATGTGCCCAATATAAAAATGGAAAGTTAACAAAATCTCTCGTTTGTTGAGAGAACATTTAATGTTTTTTTTTTTTTTTATAAATATAATGCGACTTTTTTTTCATTGAATGTTTCATTGTAATCGATATGAGAGGATCGGTGTTGAGGTAAAGTGAAAAATCCCGTGAAATAGCATAAATTAGGTCGCGATAAGATCACAAACTATTTATAAAATCATATTCCCAGCCAAAAGCATACAAGAATACCCAAGTGTTTCGAGTGAGAGCAGTTATCTCTCTAATTTCCAGGTTCGCACATTTGATATTTTTCACTCAATCGAATTTAAAGCCTGGGTGATTTGAACGATTGAGTGGCAGAGACCATAATACGAATGTGTAAATATCTACCGATCGCCGCATAAATGGTACACCTTCCCACAAATTTATTAAAAATAGATTCGCGTTTTGAACTGTGCTACTAAAAATATCACAATTTGACAAAACACGAAAACTTCAACTATTCATTCAATTTCCACAATCGATGTCTGAATTATATGCATGGATTTGAATATTTTGTATTTGTTTTGCAAATTGAAACATTTGAAATTCTATGCAAACGTTCATTCAATATCCATATGCCAGTGGAAAAGGATTTCATGCAAAAATTTCATTCTGGATAAAATGTCTCATTGATCCATTGTATTATTTTTGTGTTTTCGTTGGGTTTGTTGCCAAAAAAAAAGAGCAAAACATTCGGCTCATTGAATTGGAGTGTAGCAATTGATACATCAAATACAATGACTAAACTAGGAGAATTCATAGTAGGCTCAAAATCCAAACATTTACAAAAACAACCAGCAAAGCGGTGAAAAATGAAAATAGGAGCAGATGCATTGGTCAGCATTTATTTTATCCGAACATACTCATGGCAAACATATTATTTTTTCGTTTCATCGTCTTTTTCATTTTATTTTGTAATGAAAAAGAACAGTAGGTAGGCAAAATATACAATAATAATCGTGAACACTTATTAGGCATTCCATCAAAAAATGCGACGGTGTTTGTGGATTTATGTTTGTGAAATTCAACGGTAAAATATTCGTCAATATCGGTGTGGTCGTAATGGCGATGCGCACGCATAAAATTTCAACCCAATCAAAATGATGATGTGTCTACTACAAACAAGCAATTAGTAAAAGACATATATACGGTGCCGTTGTCGTATCGTGTCTACAGCCGGAATTGAAAATCAGTGTCCACATTCGAACGACTGAGGTCCCGCGATCAGTAGATCATCAGCTTTACTCCGAACTTATCTGAAATTAATATCGGTGATTCGGGTGCGTTAAAATTTATTTTTTGCTGATATATTGAGTTGTTGGTGTTTCATATAAACGATCCTTATTTTTTTCTCGCTTCGAGTGTATCTCTAAGTTTTGCCTTAAAAAAAATTAAATCATTATTGGAATTTACCCTACAAAAGTAAGGAAAATTCAACGAAAATGTCTTCAACTACACGAGCTTCGAAATATTCATATCGCGCCAGCAGCGGTGGTGTCGCCGACGTCAACATCGAGTACAGTGCCGATTTGACCGCACTCACCCGATTGGAGGTAAAAAAAAAACTAAGTATTTCATTGATAAAGTTTTGGATTTGAAAAAAAATCGATAAATGAAGTACATCACATAATGCATAAAGCAAAGACATCAGTTTTGTTTCCGTCTTTTTTTTCGGTTACTACGAAACAATCAGCCTTCAACTGTTTATAAATGATGGCGCATTAAATTTTGCAAAAATACTAGTGATACATACATGAGTGAGCAATTCCACAATAAGTCAAAGTGAATATTGTGCTATATGTAATATGAAATGCAAATGTATCTGCAACAATGTTTCCATAGTTGCTCTATTAAAGTGTCCAAAATATCCTCACTTAGCTTCAAACATATTTAAGCCTATGATCATCAAATCCAAGTATGTGTATGCATGTACGTATGTATGAGAATGTGAGCAATGATGACTATCAAATAAAAAATCATAATTAAAATCAAAGCTAACTGAAGTGAGGAAGAAATAAATAAAAAAGAAAAGTGAAAATGAATATGTATAACGTTACGCAAGTGCAAAATATAAAATTGTGAAAAGAGCTAAATTTATACCACGTTTGAACTGTTTCAAGTGCCGAAACTGTATGCGTCTATAAAATGAATCGTTCTGATTTTCACATACACATTTACGTATGCGAAAATTGCGGTGTGTTTAGCCAGGCATCTTAGTCGTATTGGATTTGAACTGTTTGCGGAATGCGAAAAATGTGTACTTAGACTCTACCCCATGAATTTATGTAATACAGCCAATCAGAAATGAGCCAGCAAACGTTCGAACACATATTGATGTGCGCTATTTTGCCGCACCTAAATTCAACCAATGTACATGGATCACAATTTAGCAAATGATCCACTTCATTATTATCAACAATTGAATTTGTCGAAACACAGAAAGTGCACTATCAATACTCATCATGCATCACGTACATGTTTCACATAATTTTGATCTTTGGGCTCTATGAAAATGAAAATTCCAATATTTTCAACACACATTTGCATGCTGTTTGATCTAAAAATCGATCGACACTCACGGACATCGACGGAAACAAATACATACATGCACAGACAAAGACACACACACATTCACACTTTTAGTTCCTTACACCCACTTTCTCGACGAGGTGAAAAGTTTCGTAATATGCTGAAAATGTGATGAACGATAATCATAACAATAATAATAATGATGATAATATTTTCTAGCCAGTTTTCTATATAATGAAATATTTTTTTTATATTCTTTTTTTTTTTGGATCTCAGGACAAAATTCGTTTAATCCAAGATGATCTTGAATCTGAAAGAGAGTTGCGTCAAAGAGTAAGTATCTTATGATTTATATCAATAATAATATTTTTGTTCAATGTAAACTAAATTGCATGGTAGATAGTTAAGCTTTGAGAAATACCACTATTCGGACTGTATGAATTGATAATACACATTTCACACCGATTCTATATTGGAATCACGAATTCGATATTTTGAATGAGAGTGACATTCTAAATGCTTTATTCATCATGTAGTAAAATTACGCAAATGATTCGTTTGAGAGGCAAGTCTTTTCATCTCAAATGCGAGACATTTCAAAATCATTTCGAAAAAAAAAAGTGAAAAACATAAGAGACGTTGAAAAATCACACAAACAAAATATATTTATATATCTGTGAATCATTCAGTCGTTGATTCTGTTGATGAGCATTCATTGCAAATCAGAAAAACGATTTGGCAATCAAGTGAGAGTGAAAATCTACTTCGATAATGGATTGTATGCAGCACAGTGGCTAAATGCGGTTTTAAATTCTTTATGGAATGAAAATGAAAATATTCCATGGACATCGAATCAACACTGACACGCACACAAAAGTGAATCTGAAATCATTTTTAAAAGTGAATCGGATTCGTTTGAATGGTCAACATTAAAACTTATGCTTGTAGGTGTGATGCTATATCACTATGACTCAACATCTTTATACGCGAACACATTTTCACACCGTTTCATATGAAAAGAATTCCTTGAGTAGGTGGTAATGGTAGATCGGGATATAGGCGAACGCGAAAATAAACGAAAATAAATGAATGCTGTGTGTTTTATATGAACTTACTCTAATACCACATTGATATGTACGTATGACACATCGAGCAACCAATTCAAAAATTCTACTTTGTTCATCGGAGTTTGTGTGCTTGTGAAAATGTTGTGAAAATTTTACTTTTCTCCTTCATTCTCTATTGCCGATTGATGTTATAAAAAAAGAACCGAAGAGGATAAAAAAAAACAACATTGATTTTTTATAGAAATACCGAAATACTCACCATGGTGGCAGATGAAATGTTCATCGGCAATTTTCATGGCGTTTAATTTTCCAAATATTCATAATATCGCCCGATCATGAACGTCTCTGTATAGCATAATTTTTTCGACAGTTTGGGCTGGCAGCTGGCATTAATGTTGAATACAGAAAACAAGAGAAACAAATAACAATAATATAATGAAATGAAATTATGAAAAATATGTTAAACATAAATGTATTTTATGCAATAAATTCACCGTTGGCATCGGTTCAAAACGGCACAAGTGTGTGCCAGAAAGAAAATGTAGGAAAAGAACGAGATGCTAAAAATTCGTTCTGAAAAATTGCGAAATTAACACAGAACGAAATAGCCGTATGAAATCGCACAAATTCCAAATTCAAACAACGAACATGTCAAGTAAATGAATAAAATATGGGTTATATCAGATTATCTATCGAAATGAACACTTTCTTGTCCGCTTTTGAAATGAGATGTACATTCATCAAAACAAAACAAAAACAAAAACAAAAATAATAATGCATGCAGAAGCTTTGCACTTTCATGTTTCTCAAACGTTGCATAAACGGAAAATCATCAGTTTTTGAAACAATATACAAAACAGCAGAGCTCAAAAATGTGGTTTGCACTTTATGCAGATTGAATTAACATGAACAATATTCCAAATTCAATACGATATTCGTATTTGCGGTGTGCGATGGTGTTTTGCTTTCCTTTTATTAGGCATGATTTTATAGGAAGTTACTGACCTTCATTGGATGTTTGGCTAAAAATAATTTCAACAGAAATTAAACATCATTAAATAGACAAGTGATTCATCAATGCGCATAACAAAGACAAACATTTTGAACTTCAAACACGAGCCTGACTCATACAATGGTGTGATTTAAGAACGCAAAAAAAGTACTAAAACCTATTAGAAGATGAAGCAGTGTAAACTAACCTAACTAATCAAATGTAACAAGTGACCCGTTTAAATCATTTCTCAAATAATTACCATTATTAGCTGGTGTTCGGTGTTGTTGTTGTTATTGATTGTTGTCAATCAAATAGATTACAAAAAAGAAACAACTAAAACCATAAATCCCAATTACTTTTTTCAGATTGAACGCGAAAAAGCAGACCTTAGCGTTCAAGTGATTCAAATGTCTGAACGTTTGGAAGAAGCAGAAGGTGGAGCCGAAAGTCAATTCAACATCAACCGCAATCGAGACGCAGAATTGTTGAAATTGCGTAAACTTTTGGATGATGTTCATTTGGAATCAGAAGAATCTGCCCATTTATTGAAGAAAAAGCATCAAGAAATTATCAATGATTTCCAAGAACAAGTCGACATCCTGACTAAAGCTAAATCTAGGTAAACAAAACACACCACAAACCACAGTTAGTCGAAAATTCATGTGAATTTAGCGATATATTGAGTAAAAAGTTGAAATTAGGCCATAATTTTTTCTCTCTCTCTTTATTCAAATGTCATTTGAATGATGCTCGCAAAATACGGAATAGAGAATATGCGTAACGCACAAAGGCGCAAGCAACCGAAAGGAATTTCGATTTCATAATCACTAGAAACACCTATAAATTGTGGAAAGAACCGTGGGGGAGATTATTTTTAATTTTTATAAGGTGTACTCCTCTGAACCGGTATTTTTGTATATTGATAAATTTTGTAGAGCCGCTATAGCAATAGCTATATGTTTTCATGTTTATACATCACTGGCGAAATGTCGCTTTTATTCTTTCTTCATTCTACTTTGTTGTCGTTTCGTAATTCGCGGATCTGTATTCGTATTCGAGTCGAATAGAGCGAAAAGGAAGAATGTATGGAAAATTCAATGGGTTTGAATGATCTAAAACGTTGTGTTTTGGGATGGCCGATATGTTTTTGTACTACATGAAAGCGAGAACGTACGCTACAGCATGTGGCTTTATTTTTAGACACTTTTTAAATTCAAGCGATCCTTCGGGCCAAATATGTCTTGTATACCGTTTAATATTTATCACTTTTTTCTCTTTATTTTTTTTTTCTCTCTTTATTTTTCACAAATTTACACCAAGTTGTGTTTTGCTTAAATGTGAGCATTGGATAAATTACTAAAATACGTAGAAAATGCTAATAAATATAATATTAAATGACTATAGGCAAATTATATTATCTGCTCAATTAGAAAAAAAAACCTATAACACAAAAAATCGTAAAATATAATGCCTCTCTAAACACTGATCGATTCGTTTATTTCAGAACTGAAAAAGAAAAGTCGAAATTCCAAGCCGAAGTATATGAGTTGCTCGCCCAAGTCGAATCGGTAACCAAAGAAAAAATTTTGAGCTTTAAACAAGTGGAAAAATTGGAAATCACCATTAACGAGCTCCATGTTAAAATTGAAGAATTAAACCGTACCGTTATCGATATCACATCACACAAAACTCGTTTGTCTCAAGAAAATGTCGAACTTATCAAGGATGTTCAAGACTTGAAATTGAACTTGGAGAATGTTTCATACTCAAGACAACAGATTGCTACCCAATTGGAAGACGCTCGTCGCCGTTTGGAAGATGATGAACGTCGTCGTGCATCGCTTGAAGCTTCATTGCACCAAGTCGAAATTGAATTGGAATCGGTCCGTGTTCAATTGGAAGAAGAAGCCGAAGCTCGTTTGGACTTGGAACGTCAATTAGTCAAAGCTAACGGTAATTCACGATTGTGATTTATTGTTGTTAGATTTCTTTTTTGTGCTCAATTTAAATACCCGATCTAATCATTGACCATTTTTTTTTAAATGTGACAAATATTTAGCTGAAGCTCAACAATGGCACGCCAAGGCTGATGCTGAAGCTGCTGCACGCGCCGAAGAAGTCGAAGAACTTCGTCGTAAATACACTTGTCGCATCCAAGAACAAGAAGAGCACATTGAACAACTTTTGGTTAAAGTTAATAATTTGGAGAAACAAAAGAGCCGCTTGCAAAGCGAAATTGAAGTCCTCATCATTGATTTGGAACGTGCCAATGGTACAGCTCGCGAATTGCAAAAGCGTGTCGATACACTTGAACGCACTAACATTGAAATCAAAGCTCGTTTGGAAGAAACCATTCAATTGTACGAAACTGCTCAACGCGATCTCAGAAACAAACAAGCCGAAATCGTCCGCATCAACAACGAATTGGACAAGACCAAGGATCAACGCGATACATTGTTCCGTGAAAACAAAAAATTGGGAGGTAATACAATAGCGACAACTTTCAAATTTTCGGCATTTCGGAACTAATCGTGGTTTTTCTCTCTCTCCCTCTCCCTCTCTTTCTCTTTGCAATCATCAATTAGATGACTTGGGTGAAGCAAAGAGCACAATTTCTGAGTTGACCCGTCGCTACCATGAACTTGAAATCGAGCTCCGTCGTTTGGAAAACGAACGCGATGAACTCACTGCTGCTTACAAAGAAGCCGAAGCTGTTAGTATCAATAGTTATCTTCATTTTGGATCATATTTTATTTATTTCTGACTTTTTTTCTTAATCCTTTCCAAAAAAGGGCCGTAAAGCTGAAGAGCAACGTGCTCAACGTTTGGCTTCTGAATACAACCAATTCCGTCACGATGCTGAACGCCGCATCGCCGAAAAAGATGAGGAAATTGAATGTATTCGGTAAGTAACCCATATATTTTTTGTGAAAATAGGAAAAAAGTATTCGACACTCAATTGAAAAATTGGATGCATTACAATCGTGGATTTTTTTAAATAAAAAATGCTCCAAAAACAATTGCAAGAATTTATATAACACACAATTAAGGGAAGTCACCGAAGTATTGACTTGTTGAATAATTGCCAACATTTTTGGGAAAAAGTTAAGAGTTTCATCATTATTTTGCCACATTTTTCCTATATTTCTGTAAATAAGAGAAGATTTTAAAAAAGGCATGTGCTAACCTAGTTCATTTAAACCTGAGAGTGGAAAACTGCACAATAGAGGAATTTTGACTTTCCAATGCAGTTTTTTTTTCATGGTGCTGAATGGTGAAAAAAAATGGGCACTAAGCGTTTCCAATACTAGAAGGTTTTACTGTAATTGCATTCGATTCATGCTCCAAACGCATATGCGTTAGACATTTGCAATTAATTATTATACGAGAAAAACAAGGTTTATGAACCGCTTGCCGAAATGGCAACAACTAAAACAACTCTGCACTAGATTCTTGTTCAAGCAAATGTTATGAAATCAAGTCTAGTGCCAAACAGTTGGCGACTTTTCATGATTTAGTTAAATTTAGATCAATTTAATTTTGGGACTTTTTTCGAGTTTTTTTCTTTTGAAATTATTGCATTCTTTAACAAATAGTTGTACGATATGATCGGACTTCAATATAATTTTTAATTTATAATTGGTCTTGCTCTGTCTCCGTTTGATATGGGTGAACAGTTTTCATCGATTTTCTCATTTGATAAACTCAATATGATATATGAAAATGCTATTATTCAAATTATGCAACAAACATGTACACAATATACTTTAAAGACTTAATTATTTTTAGAAGAACAGTGCAAATGAATAATTTGTTGTTGTCAGACATTATATTGAGATATTTTCAGCCACCTGAATCAGCTCAGGCTGCCATCGTCAGGAACTGTAACAATCAGGAAAAATTTGTAACTATAACAATCACTCCTATTGTTGTCGCTTCATTTTAGCTGATTCACCTGGCTGAAAATATCTCAATATAATGGTTGTTGTCGATGAAGCTTTATTTTTTCGGTGTGATTGCAATATTTATATGAATAGGATGCCAATAGGAAATACAATCGATGTTTTGATCGATTTTTGAAGGTCAATTGGTTTTCTATTTAATGAAGATCGGCCCATCGACATTTAATCATTTCATATTCGATTGTTGATCAAAAATCATAGACGCAATTGTTTTAGGTCACTTTTACAATATCGAGTGTGTTGCCTTTCACAGCGATTTTGTAAGCGAGCAACATTTTTTGTTGTTGTATTTTAGTAATTTTAAACATAGCTCATAAAAATTCGACATTTTCAACATTTTGAGTAATACCAAAGTATCGAGCACATTGAAATTCATTGGCCCTTGAATTCCGAGACAAAAGCCTATAGAAAAAGGACAGACCCAAATATACCGGGATCGAAAGACGAATAAAAATAATGTTGTATTGAATATATTTGAAATACATTCATACGTACCAAGAACAAACCATTTGTACACCATTTGTGAATTCGGCGAATTGGCGATTTAATTGAAAAAAAAAGAGAAAAAACAGCGAGAAAGAAACGCAAAAACAGACAAGAGTAAAAGCAAAAATAAAGCAAACAGAAAAACCTACCAACAACAACTACAAAAGCATCAAAAATTTAAAGAGGAAACAGTGGCAGCACACAAACAGAATTAACACCAACAACAACAACAACAACAATTACAACGTGCACACCAGCTAAAATACATTAAATTTGACGCAGGCACATATAGGACCCGACTAGTGTGCGTTTTTAGAATTTATAAATAAATTTTTCAATAATGGCATCAATGCAACAAATTGCTAAAAGACGACCCCCCACCACATCAATCTATTCAGATAACTACGGCTACACAATTAATTTCTATCAGCCGATGATAGATTATTTAGATGCGAAGCAACAAGGCACAGATCCTCAGTATCCATACTTGCCTTTGTCGTATGAACGTGGTTTGAAAAAGTACTGGTCGTGTAATAAAGTGCCGACATACGATAAAAAAGAAGTTGAAAAATATAGCAAAGAAGTTGCTGTGCACGCCAAGAATCGCGAACAAAATTTTGAAGATTATAAAATAATCAAACGGTCTCCGTTGGCAGTGACAAAAAGTGCTATTGGTGCCCGTTTAGGCAATCGATTGGGTCGATCAAAATACGAAACCATCGAAGAACGAACAATTCGAAAACTTGACGAACAATCAAACGAGCGACATCTTGCCAAAGTCATGGATGATATTGAGAATATTAAGGCACGGTTTAATGCCCACAAAGATTTGGAAATTTCAACTGGTTTGAAAAAGCAAATTCGTGGTAAATCGGCCAGTCAAATAACGGCCGCTTTGCTCGCCGAAAGTGAGAAAAACATTAAAGTGTCACGTAATCAAGAGGACTTATTGATTACACAAGCAAAACAATCATCGCAAATGTTTGGCAGGGCAAAAGTGACACAACGCTGTACACGCATCGAAATGCTCGATGATCGTGACATCGACACATTGGATCATAAAGTCGGCTCGTCATTGTGTGATGTCAAGCGCCAGTTGCAGTCATTCAATCAACGAACATCCGATCTTTATTATGATTCAAGGTGTTGTAATTGTTGTAATTGTAACTGTTGTAATAAGAAAGAATAAGTTTCAAATGAATTTAATTAAAAAAAAAAACAAACAAACAAATAAACAGCATAGATTGAAATACATAAAATATACTTCATTTTCGGTAGGAATCAGCTATTTTTAGATGTTACATGTACAGTCGTCCTGTGAATAGGCTAGTCAAATGGCACGTCTTACATGTATGACGCATCGTTCTACCATACGTATTCGAAAATATCATTTATTTTTATTTTTATGAATAATTCGATGGCTGTGCAAGGGAATTAGGGAAATCACACGAATAAATGATATTCCAATTTTTATGACCAAATGAAATCATCAGTGCGTTATAATCGTCATAATCATGCGAACAAAACTGAAAAAGTCAATTCATCAATAATTTGAAAAAATATATAAGAAAAACCAACCGTTTTTTTTTGTTGTCGTTTACTTTTTTCTTATCTTTCTTATTGGTAATATGACATTATTTGACAAAGTAGAGAAGAGTATGTTATTTTTTACTTAATTTTAATGGATATAAACAATTTAAAAATATCTCTATTTTACACTCAAATGAAACTTCAATTTTTTTTTGAAAAAGATGCTAAATTCGATCAAAACTGAAGCACATACTCTCTTCTTCTTTTTCAAGTCAGATAAAGATATACTTTTAATACAGAGAATACATTTTTCTGGTGCTTGATTTAAAACTGAATAACCAACATTGTGTCATAAATGGCACGAACTAATTTTTATGGTAATATTGAAACTTTCAGCAAACAAACTGCCATCGAAATTGAGCAACTTAATGCTCGTGTTGTTGAGGCTGAAACTAAACTCAAGACCGAAGTTGCCCGTATCAAGAAGAAGTTGCAAATTCAAATTACCGAATTGGAAATGTCACTTGATGTTGCAAACAAGACCAACATCGATTTGCAAAAGGTTGTCAAGAAACAATCATTGCAATTGACCGAATTGCAAGCACATTACGATGATGTCCAACGTCAATTGCAACAAACTCTTGACCAATACGGTGTTGCCCAACGTCGCATTCAATCGATCAGCGCTGAATTGGAAGAAGTACGTGCCAATTACGAAAATGCATTGCGCTCCAAACGCAACGTTGAATTGACATTGGAAGATGCCCAAACTCGTATCAACGAATTGAGCGTTATCAATGTTAATCTTGCATCGACCAAAGCAAAACTCGAGCAAGAAATCTCTCAAGTCGCTCAAGACTACGAAGAAGTTACTCGTGAACTTCGTATTAGCGACGAGCGCTACCAAAAAGTCCAGGTAAAATGACATTGTTACAATAATCATACTTTTATAAAGGTTGTACTAAATAAAATCTGTGTGTCTGTGTGTGCCCTAGGTTGAACTTAAACACACCGTTGAGATATTGCATGAAGAACAAGAACGCATTGTTAAGATTGAGACGATCAAAAAATCGTTGGAGGTTGAAGTCAAGGTAAGCGAATGTTCAACGAAATCGAAAAGAAACGAAATTAATAATCAAGATTGTCGTTACGCAACTAGAATCTCTCGGTACGTCTCGAAGAAGTCGAAGCCAATGCTGTTGTTGGTGCTAAGCGTATCATCAGTAAATTGGAAGCTCGCATCCGTGACTTGGAACTTGAATTGGAAGAAGAGAAACGCCGACATGCTGAAACCATCAAGATCTTGAGAAAGAAAGAACGCACCGTCAAAGAAGTTCTTGTTCAATGCGAAGAAGATCAAAAGAATGTCATCTTGTTGCAAGAAACCCTTGAAAAGGCCAACTCCAAGATCAATCTCTACAAACGTCAATTGACTGAACAAGTAATTTAAAAGCAAACACTATTCGAACAATCAATAACATATCATTCAAATTGTGTTTTTTTTTTTTTGGTTTCCATTTCTTTCTTTCCTTTCTTCTCGTTCTGTCATTTCGTAATTCATAGGAAGGAACTGCTCAACAATCGGTAACCCGTGTACGTCGCTTCCAACGTGAACTCGAAGCCGCAGAAGATCGTGCCGATGTAGCCGAAAGCAACTTGTCCCTCATTCGTGCCAAACACCGTACTTTTGTTACATCAAGCACAGTGCCAGGATCGCAAGTCTATCTCGTCCAAGAAACAACAAGAACGAGCGTTGAATAAATTCAGTCCAACATCACTCACAAAAACATATTCGAACATTTTTTTTACAGCAGAAAATTTGATCAAGCATAAATCAAACGCACTCCCAAAATGAAAACAAACAAAAAAAAAAGAAATAATAATAAAAAAAGTGAAAGAATGAAATTAATATCGAATTCAAATCAATCGACCATCTAACATGACACTGAAGCAAATTCTTTGAAGCATCAAATTACATTAAATTAAAAATATACATACATTATTTAGTCTATTTAACGAATCAAATGAATGATCATTTTTTTTCTTTTTCACCGAAACACACAAAAGAAAATCTTATTTATTTTGATCAGGATGCAGTTGAAGAAAAAGAAGAAAATTAAACACCAACAACAGCAACAACAACATATTCAGAAATGAAATGAATTTATTTGATTTATTATAAACATTCCCGGCACAATAGATGAAGATTTATTTTCAGAAGATCGGTGTCAAGGCCGGGACCTACTAATTAATGAATAAAAACGCACATAAAATTAGCGAAAAGCATAACCACACCACTTTTTTTACATTCACGAACCAAAAAAATCTAAAAAGCTAAATAAACAAAATAAAACAACAACTTAAAGAAAATAGGACCGTTCAGCCGAATTGAAAAACAAAAACAAAACCAAACTAAACTAAACAAAAGAAGAGAAAAAGAAAAACAATAATACCGAGAGAGAAAAAAAGTATTTACTGCCATTATAACGCATTTATATGTGTTCATCTGTATGTGGAATTTGCAATTGTAACTATGTCGTTGAGTCATTTAACTCACAAACGCAAACATTTATTTGCTTGCTTCTATTTTGTGTTCAAAATATTTTGCATCAATTTTAGTCCATTTTTTAAGAGGCTAGAGCAATTGTTTTGTTAATTTAAGATAAACTTAGAATTGGGATTTTCGTTTCAGTTTAATTTTTTTTTTTTAATTTTTCGTTCGTCGTAGTATGCATATAGCATTCTAATTTTGTTGAAAATCAATTGTTGCATTTTTTAGCTAAATCCCATCGGACTTTATATTATTTCCAATTAATTCGTTTATCATCATTCATGTTATATTAATTGAGTGACAATTGGCGAAGAAATTATTAAAACTAACCACATACATTTTTATATGATTAAGAATATCGTTCATTTTGCATGGTAAAGAATTCAATTTCAGTAACTTTCATTTTGTTTAGACAAAAGAAGAAACAAAACAAAAACAAATTTATTGAGAAGCGAGCGCACAGCATCATAACTTATTCAGCTCTTGTTTGTACAGCTTTTGACAATGTTTTTTTTAATCGTTCGAATAGAAGAGAAAACTATTAGTTGATAAATGATTAAAATATGAAAACAAAAAAAAAAACAATTTCTAGTAGGTAAGCAAATTTTTATTGAATTGGCATTCATTAACAATTTTTTTTATTAATGAATCATATTAAACAATTTTTATTTCAAACGAAATAAAGTTTTCAATTTAATTCATTCGTTTTTGCTTTCAATCGTTTGCAGAGTGTTTCATTTTTTTTTTGAATGGCGATAGTATACTAACGCTCTTTTCAGACTCGCTTTGCTTTTTTTCAACATTTTTTAAATCATATTTTGTTGTCTTATCAAGGCCAGAAGGACAGGTAACGTATTATTGTATCTAAATTTTCTTTGAGACTGAGATCCACGATTTCCAGTCAAGCTTTGTTATTGGTCATTTGGTATCTGAATAAAATTTATTCATTGTAAGATTTTCAATTTGTTTTGTTTAGCATTTTTAAGGTCATATTTCATCTGTTGTTCACTTATCAAGGCCAGAAGTGCAGGTAACGTATCACCAGTTACATTATGTCTGATAGCCTTGAAGAACTCCAAATAGTGATGTGTATTATGGCTAGAAAAATCGATAAGATTCGTTATATATTCGGAAATGGAGAAAATATTTAAAATCATTTCATATTTCTTACATTATTAATAGAATCGAAGGCAACAGTTCTTTCGTGTGCACCAAATGTTGCAAATAGGCTCTCGTATGATCTCGACAAGTTACACATTCACATCCTTTTACGAGTGGCTCAAATTTATCTTTATAGCTGCAAGAATAACCACAAATTACCATCAATTCAACTAAGATCATGCAATGTTTTACTTACATCGGGTCAGATAAATCGATTGCAAATTCAAAATCGTCTCCATTGTTCTTATCTACATCGACACTGTGTGTGCTGTATCCACCTTAGGGTGTTCAAAATATTTAGTTGTTATTTTGATGTTATAACACATTCGTAGAATATAAGTTCGTCATATTGCTTGATGTATATCAAGCTTTAAAATCGTTTTCGGTTTGTTTGTTTATGACATAACTCAATCTATCAACATAAGATAGATTGTAGCTATCAACATGAAACCCATTTTTTCGGATTCTTGAGTCGAATCCACAGATAACATATTTTTCTTTTTGGAGAATTCGTCGATTGCGATTGTGGACGATTTTTTTTTTTTTCAAATTGGTCGCCTTAGAAAACACAAAACAGTCAATCGTCCACGATTGTATATAGAAATTAACATTGACTACAATCGTTAACGATATAGATCAACGATTACAATCGTTAACGATATAGATCAACGATTGAAATCGTCAACGATTACAATCGTTGCTTGAGAAAAGTCGAAAAGTGACTTTTAGAGGCCGGCCATGGCCAACATCGCCATGTTGAAAAGTGCCGGAACAAAAAAGTCTTAGTTTTTTGTGTACTTTAATCACAGAGATTGAAAGTGAGGCTATGTTGCACACTTTTTGATTTACTTATGTTCGAATATTTTGAATTCCAATCCCACAAAAATGAAAATGATATTAATGTTCACTTAAATTAACATTTAAAAATATATTTACATTTATTTTGTAAATATTTTCTGGTGTTTTGTAGATTTTTTAATTAATCAACTTGTTATCATTGTGACAAAAAAGTGAGGTTATGTTAACCATTTTATTTTTCTAATTTAATATTTTTCAATATTGAGAACAGTAAATCTGACAAAATTACAAAGAAAAATAATTTCCATTAAAAAACGTTTTAAAATTTATTTATTGTTACTTTTTTAAATTATTTTTCTGTACTTTTTAGACTTTTTAAATGAATTTTTGTTATTGTGAATATGCGAGCGCCATCTGTTAGATGTAACACAAAAAATTTGGGACAGATTAGTTTGATTTAATGCAATCAGGGAGCGCGTCAGTGTTTTCGGTCACAAAATTTATATGGGAATTCCTATAATAGACCACGGCTATGGGCACATATTGATCCTGGTATCTGCAGTATTAAAATTGAAAAATCAAAATTGAATTTTCTCGTAATTTATTCGGTATAACATATTTGGATAGAAATTAAACTTGCAAATTAAGTCCAGCGGATAATTCAATTGTACCATGTGCTTGATTCAATTAGCTGTCAAAACAGATTGTTTGTTCGAATGTGATATCCAACCCTGCTGCAAACTGATTTAGTTAGAAGTACCATAAACAAACAAATTGCAATTCAAAAAACATAATTTATCCAATGAAATCAATAAAAGAATAGTTTATTATTATATAATTATATAAATGTTGAATCAAACATGATCAAAGTAAACGCATGATGATTTTATCATTTTTTTATTTCATTTTATGAAGATGTTCAAAAATCATTTTTCTCATTTTGCTTTGTTGTTTGCTTGTTGTTCCCGTTCAATAGCTCGTTGCTTGGCTTTTTCATAGATTGGCAATAATTGACCTTGTTCCGCTAACATTTTCAATAATTCCACGATGAACGGCAAATAGTTGTGCTTACGTCGAATATTTTCAATCTGTAAAAAGTGTGCATTGCTCTATTTAATGGATTTTTCATTGAAATGGTGTAAATCGAATGTAGTTTTATACCTTATACTGTCTCTTTTTCACAATATCATTTTCGATAAGGCCGCGTAAACGAGCGACTTCAGCTTGTTTCGCATCCGTATCCATATCATTTTCCGAAATGCCATTTAGAATTTGGTCAATTTTTCGTTGGTAAATGAGTTGTCGATCGGAAACCAGTGCCATCAAATTGAAATGAATTTCACCTTCGCTATATTTATCGATTCGCTTTTGAATGATCGGACGAACGACATCGATCCAATCTTGATTGGCTGGAATGGCACCCAAATCGATTGGACCCTCCTTTAAACCATCTAGTTCATATAAACGTCCATCAATTGGTACATAACCAATGAAATGAAAAACATCTTCGTCTTTGGTGGCCTTTTTGTTGTCCAATTCGAAGAGTGTTTGTCTTGCAAACGAATTATGAACGGCGCGAATTTGTGATGCATTGCTCAATGTTAAACCTTTATTTTGTGCATCGAACGATTGACAAAATTCCTTTAAATCCGCCAATGTTGAACCGAGCTTCAAATCGGAATGACTACAATTCATCAAAATACTGAGAATTGCTTGTGTAGCGCACGCATTGTTAATTACCTACAATTTTCGATTTAACATTCAAATCAAATAGTTCACATATCAAATTGAATTCTATTTATTTACTTGTTTTGCAAAGAAGATCTTTTCCAACCGATTATCACGAACAACTGAACCGGCCGGCTCATCATCTTGAACATACTTGAACAAAAATATCAATCCATGTACTGGCCTGCAATTACAAATATCAATCAATGTACAAATTAAACTGTTAAATCATTTCAAAACATTTTGGCATTCAACATACGATAAATTTTTGAATTGTTCCGCATCCAAAGTCCATAGTTCTTCGACTTGAACGCCTTCGCAACCTAATACAATCAGAAAACAAACATACATAACCTCATTCTGTTCGATTCGATAAATAAATGATTTTTTATATAAAATTAAAGTACCAAATTCTTTGATTAATTCCGTGAAGACGCCGGGATCGGATTCAATCAAACACCAATTTCCAGCACTATCGCTCATTTTCGACAAATTGATTTACGACAAAAATAACAGTGACTATACACTTTTCAGTAGCCTTTTGTTGAGTCAAACAATATAAACCCTGTACACAATTTTTTTTTTTTTTGATGCGTACTATTTTGACAGTTCGTTCGGATGTGGAGACTTTTCGCATTTTAAATTCACTCCATTTTGTTACTATAGCAAAATGAAAGAAGAATAAAAATCAATTTTGCGAAATGGAAAAAGGTTTTCAAAAAATCTTGGATAAATAGAAATAAAAATAATCTTTTATGAGTTATTTACGCATGAATAAATTATTTCGAATAATTACGACAAATTATTTCAAAATGCAAACAAGATGGCGTTGGCTTCGAGTTGAAAGTTGTTTTTAACTTAAGCAAATGTCATTGAATTTATAACGCGTATTTGAGCGATGTAGAATTTGACAGTTGTTGTAAAATATTAAACATTTCATCTCAGTCGACTGAGGATTTAAATTGCAAGCTTACACATACACGCACATACATGGACATCTCTACGTATATATGTAAAAATATAAGGTATATGCATAGCGAATGAGAAACAGTGAAGAGTTAAAAATCACCAACTAAGCGACACAAACAATATCGGGTCGTGTGAATAAGTGATAATATAAAAATATAAAATATTAGTGTTTTTTTTTGTGTGTGGCAATCAAAATAGTTGTAGATCAGCAGAATATTGAAACGCAAAAAAAAAATCCCACAAAAAAAAAAGACGAAAAAAAAACACACACCGAAACATCGAGGAGAAAAGAGTGTAGCAACAAATTCAATAACAAACGCCGCGCACATATAGACAGTATCCATATCATTTGCAAACATGTAACCAGTTTTCTGTTTGTGTTTGTATTTCAATACGGTGTAGCGTTTATTCCGTCTCGATTCGATTCGATTATATGTTGTATGCGCTAAAATTTGCCAGCGAAAAACGAAAATAAATAAAATAATTAAATAATTATTAGTACAAGTTAGTGGTCGCATTAAACGAAATTTCGTACACAGTAAAATGGTGATCTCAAAGGTTGGGAAGCGTAAAAGAAATCCGCCACCGGTTAAGGAAACACGTCCTGTACAGGAACAACCCAAAAGGTGATTTGAAAACAAAAATTTATGTTTACAATTTTCAAGTTAAACTTGACTCTAGAATAAACCAAAAATGGTATTTTTTGTAAAAGTTAGCGATTCGAGCGATTTAAGAATTAGCAAAACAAATGTTCTGTCTGTGTGCATAATTCAAACGGTGCAATGAATCAAAAATATGCAATTGTAATTGTTTCGTTTTGAGGGACTTTTGCACGTAAATCAACATTTAATAAAAATTAAAAGAAGAAAATCACGAGTCGTTTTGGGCCCGACTTCGTAATCGTTTGTACGATGAATTTGTTTTTATCATCGAACATTCAATCTTGTTGTAATTAAAGTTAATTTGGATATTAGTTGCCATTTGTTTGGTAGAAAGTGTTGCTGATTTGTTCCATTTATTGATGCATTGAACTACTTATGACTGTCGAACAAATTATGAATAAAATCTATGATTTGATGCCGCGTTGTGATGGTATTGCATTTATATAAGAATAAATTATTAATCGATTTTCACGAATAAAGAGGTCATAGTAGCTAAAACTCAATTTTATTTCAATGTAAAAATATTTCACTTGTCGTAATATACAAACCGTTTACAGTGAAGAGATTTTGCGAATAAATACAACAGTATATGCTATTATTCAATTGATACTTACGCTGTAGATAAACTATCATTGCTTGATTTCGATGCATACATACATTTATCGTGTGCAAAATCTTTCGCCAAAAATTAGAACTTGCCATTTATTTCAGTGTGCGCACATCTGGTCAACTCCTTCTATTCAGTTTTACTCATTTACTTTTTTCTTGTTTTAATGCACGGTATACATACCAAATGAATATATCAAATTCGCATAAGCAAAAATGACATCATTCTATTTACAGAAAAATCTGCACATATATTAAGGTCGCAAAATTAAAAAAAAAATCATCGAAGCAAATACAAAATATTTTAGCATTTTGAAATGCATTTCACTTGAATTAGAAAGAAAATCAAGTACTCACATTACTACTACATGGCAAGTTTTTTTTTTGACATCACAAAATTCATGGAACCGAAATTTCTCCAAAATGAAGTTAAAAAAAGAATAAATGTGATAAAAATTCCTTTTTTTTTACAAAGATTTTCTTTTTTTTTTATTAAAACACGTTTTGAACGCATTCATTTCTTGAATTCCAGACCTAAAGTTCAAGCACAGCGTAAATTTGCTCAAGCATGTGGCGGCGGCAGTGCATCATCAACAGTACCATCCAGTTTGCTTGCAAATCAATCGGCGCAAAATGGGAGCGCAAAACCGGAAGGTGTTAGTCATGATCCGCCACAGGAATTGTTACCAAATCGGCGGCCAAACACAGAGGACTTTTTAACATTTCTTTGTTTTCGCGGAACATCTGTTCTTCCATCGCACTTAGATTTTTTCAATACAAATAAAAATTCGGATCCAAAACAAGCAAAACCGAAAACAGAGAACACAGCAACTAGTTGCAGCTCAAAAGATGTGAAACAAGAAGATAAGCGGCCAGAGGTGAAAAATGAAAAGATCGACGTTGCGAAGGATGTTAAAACAGACGCAGATGCACCGAAATTCATACCGTTTGCCGTAAGAAAAAGAGCTGAAACTGTGGTGGCTGGATCACGTAAGCAAACTGTTCAAGCCTTGAAGAAAAAATACCAGGACCAACGAATTGCGAAAAATAAAGCGCAATGCAAAACTCGGTCGTCAACGGCCAAAGAAACCGAAGTGATCAAGGCACCGAAACTCAAGCAAAATGATGTGGATAAAACATCAAATGAGAACCCGGCCAGGGGTCGAAATAAGCGAAAATTACGTGGCAATATTGGAAATGATCAGTCTGATGAAGAAGCTGTTACAATCAAACCACAGAAGACAGCCAAAGTTACAAATGGCCGACCAAATAAAGTAGGTGACACAAACAAAGTAAGTAATTTTGACAAACTCCGAATGGAATTCGATATCGAATTTATTATTATTAATTTATTGGATTTTTATTTTAATTTTTCTTTTATTCGAAAAGGGTCAAAAGATAGCTACGCGAACGACAAAATCAATTGGTTCAATCCCACCCAAATTGGATGAAAAGGAAAAAGAAGAAGAAATGGAAGAAAGTACCAGAACAACGAGACAACGGAGCTATTCGCTACCCAAGTCAGAAGCGAAACCACTTAAAACTGTAGAAAAAAGTGCAATTCAACAAGATACTATAACTCCAAAAGGAAATAAGAGCAAAAATGTGAAGAACAAACGTGCCAATGAAACGGTTGAAGGAGAGTTTTCATCCGACGATGATTTGCCATTGGTCGAAAAGAAGAAAGGCAAGGCAACGCATCAAGAGAAAACAAAGCGAAATTTAAAGCGAATTTCGAATCGAAGAAATCAGTCTGGTGAATCGATTGAAATAGATAAATCTGTTGATAGAAAATCCGTAAGCTCATCGGAGCCAGCATCTAAAAGAAAAACACCTTCGGGCAATAAAAAAGTGGCGCAAAACAAAAGCGCTTCAAACGAACCAGTACAAGTAAAATCAACTTGCAGTGAGAAGTCAGAAAATGAGTCGCAACATGAAAGTAAAAAGGATACCAAAGCTGTAAAACGAAAACGCCGTAATGAGTTCACCGATCTTTCACAAACCGATCAAAGTGAAAATGAAACAAAAACCGGTCGTCCGATGCGTAAAACGAAAGAAGCTGCTGCCATTTATATGGAACTGATTGGTCAAAAGTTGAATTTGAGCGACTTTGATGATGATTTATCCGTTGATAGCTTTCCAGAATTGCCAAATGTCAAGAAAACCGAACAAATGGAAAATGATATGAAAGCAAATTTGGGAAAAGAAAAGCGTGAACTTACATCCACGCCTAAACGAGGTCGTCCAAAACGAGAAGAGGCGAGTTCGCTGCCAGATGAAAAGCATGAACCACCACAAAAATCTATCGAAAACGGGCAGAAAGATGAGAAGCGTAAAACATCTGAACCAATTGCAGAGACTGGCGGCAAAGCGAAATTGGAAAAAAGTTTTAGTGACTCAGATGACGAACCATTGGCAACTAAATTTGAACGAAAATCAAAAACGCCAAAAGACAAAACAAATCCGAAGAAAATTGTTGTTACGCCGACAAACAAAGATTTGAACCAAGAGAACCGGTCGGAGAATAAACGCGATACATCATTCAAAAGTGCCGATAATTCATTCGAATGCAAACCATTGGAAACTACAGCTCAAAATACGATTTTGGCCCAAAATTCAAGCATGACAACACCAGGTAAAAATAATATATCAACAACCACTGAGCCAACAACAAAAACGAAAAATACATCGTCGCCGCCAAAGAGCATTGACTTGAATGAAACCGAATTCAAAATGCCCGCCGAAAGTGTGAAGCAACTATTGAGTCCGCCAATCAATGTGAGTCCGATAAAAATGGCATCGATAAGAGGGAATGCTAGAGATAAAACGGCCGAAGCTTTTAACAATAATCTACTTCAAGCATCATCATCTGGCAAAACAACGGCACAAAATATATCAGCGATTTTGGCCGATTTGATGCCGAGCAAAGAAGAATCGGGAAAAATATTCGGCATTGCCAGCGTAACTCTTGCACAAAGTTCAGGTCCAATAGACACCAAATGCACCCTTGGTAAATGTGGTTCAATACACAAGCCGTCATTGGGACCGGGTGTACCAACTGAGTCTTATTTGGGCGATCAAATGTCGAACAAGGATAGGCGAAAGGCCAAGGTTAATATGACCCATGAACAAATCGAGAAATGGTTGTCAGAATGCTCAATGACCGCTGTTCCATTCGTAAATGACTCGCTTGATGATGAAATCGATTTGACAATTCCACCGAAACCAATAAATTATCTGTCAACGCCTTCGCCAAAACGCGAGTCAGACCATGCTAGAGACGAAGTTCCATCATTGACAAAAGTAAGAACTCAGACGCCAAAAGAGGGTAAATCAGTTCAAGTACGTCAAACCACACCTGTAAAAGGTAAAATGAATTTACTTCCGAAAGGAGAATGCTCGGCTAAGACTGCTTTTGCGAAAAAAGAAGATCAATTTACCGCAAATCAATCGAAACCAATTGTTGCCAATAAAGATAATGTAACAGTAACCGAAAAATCAATGGCTTCCAAAAAGTCTGCATCAGCAAATCAAAATACAAACGCAAATGCAAATGTAGACGAATCAAAAGGTGAATGCATCAAACCGATTTCGGCGGTAAAAACCCAAACATCACCAAATAAACCAAATGTGAAAGGTGTGACAGTGACACCAGATAAAAAACCCATTTATAATAGACGAACACCGGTTTACAATACGAAAAAAAGTGATCAGGGCATTGTTAAAAGTCCGCCGGTGGTTAACACATTTTGTGCATTCTCACCCGAAAATGAGGCGAGTGTTTATTCATTTGACAAAGAAGAGGACACAATACATGCATCTATTCCATTTCGTAGACACAGTCGACGGGGATCCACACATTCAAAAAATAATGAAAATGATACATCAATTAAAACGACCAACATTACACCGATCAGTAAACCAAGTCCAAAGGATCAACAAACGAAAAAGCAACAACTTTCGTTGTCCCTATGTCTCGATGATGCTAATCGATCGGCAGCCACAGTAGTTGCAACGACAAAACAAAATGCCAACGATAAAGTAAAGAAACTTTCATTAAATGAAAGTGATTTGGTAAAGGCAATGGCCGCATCAGATAACGATGGACGAGACTCTGATTCTGAAGGTCATACTTTCTATATACCCCTTCAATGTATGGGCAATAGTTCGGTTGGCAATTCATCCGATCAGCTCATTCAAGGAGTGGCTGTTAAATTGGGCACTGAAGGACCCGAAGGCCCCAATCAAAAAGTTATCATGCATGCCAAACTGGTGACTAAATCTCAAATGGGTGCGAATGCAACACCAATACCGGAAGGCATGGGAATGGCAAACATACATGAAATTGTTAAAAATTTAATTGCCAACAAAGAAATGGCCAGTACCAAATCAGTGCCAATTGGTACAGTTCAGCCACGTTTAAAGGTCAACGATCTAACAAAACCAAGTACATCTACACTACCCACTGAAATAGTATTATCAAATCAACCGTCTGCATCGAATTTAACACGTCACAATTCGAATCAATCGCTATTTTCTCAGAAAACCAAAAGCACAAAACGTCCAAAAAACGAGCAAACCATTCAACCAAGCAACAATACAGCATTTCCGCGTTACGATGATCCAGCTCAGATGGTCGAAGCGCCGGTATTCCGGCCAACCGAAAAAGAATTCCAGGATCCAATTGAGTTTATAAATCGTATTACACCAATTGCTGCTCGTTTCGGTTTATGTCGTATTATTCCGCCATCGACATTCAAACCAGAGTGTAAAATATCCGATGACATGAGATTCACCGCCTACAATCAGTATGTGCATAAAATGTTGCATCGATGGGGTCCCAGTGTGAAAGAGTTCAGTGCAATTAAAAAGTATTTGGCCACTCAGTGTATTACGTTGAATCAACCACCATTGATTGGTGGCATGGAAGTTGATTTACCTCGATTATATCATACCGTTCAAGAGTTGGGCGGCCTCAAAGAGGTGATTGAGAAGAAAAAATGGGCTCGTGTTGCCGAAGAGATGTGTATACCAAAATCGGCACAAGATCGTGTTACAAAACTTGATGACATTTATTGCAAATATTTGTTGCCATATGATACACTTTCACCGTCTGAACGTCAGAAATTATTTGAAAGTGTGGAAGCCGATTGGGCAAAGAGTGAGGCAAAAGCCCGTCGAAATGCCGACCGAAGTGCATTGAGCGAAAGCAATTCAAATGAAAACTCTGACTTTGAAGAGCAATCGGACGAAGACGATAATGAATCGGGTGATAGCGGTTCAATGGAATGCATTGTTAAGGGAAAAAGTACGGCGCTGAGCGCCTTCTTCCGAGTAGCCAGAAACACAATGGCATTATGGTTTCGAAACACCGAACCAGCGACCAGTGAAGTTGAAACCGAATTTTGGCGACACGTCGCTGTTCGTGACAGCCATGTATGCGTGCATTCTGGATCCATTGATTCAAGTGGTTGGGGATATGGTTTTCCAACACCTGGACCAAAAACAAAGAATTCAACATGCAGCAAACATCCATGGAATTTAAAAGTTCTTACTAATAATCATAATTCAATTTTACGATCGATTGGACCAATTACAGGTGTAACCGTGCCCACACTTCATGTTGGTATGCTGTTCAGCGCTTGTTGTTGGTATCGTGATCCACATGGTTTGCCATGGATCGAATACTTACATACGGGTGGTAGTAAAATTTGGTACAGCGTACCAAATGAACAAAGTGCCAATTTCCGTACAGCATTCACATCACTTGTACCAACATTGTCAAATAAAACCGTTTGGCTTCCGTGTGACACGGCAATGGTACCACCGCACATGCTCACTGACCGTGGCGTTTCACTGTGCCGAACCGAGCAAGAGCCAGGCCAATTCGTTGTCGTATTTCCGCGAGCTTATACATCCAATATATGCACCGGATATTCCATATCGGAGAGTGTATACTTTGCACCAATGTCTTGGCTAGAAACAGCAAAAGAAGATTTTAAGGTAATTAACAGCTAAATCATGAATTTTGTGAATAATAAACTTAAAACGGTACATAACACTTGATTAAATTTCTTTTCAGGATATACACGACAGCTGTGAACCAGCAATGTTCTCCTTGGAACAGCTTCTATTTTCGGTTGCGTCGGACGTTCGAACTAACGTGGATATTTTGGAAACTGTACTTCCTATGCTCAAAGAGGTGTACGAACGTGAAATTAAAGAAAGATCTGAGATTCAGGTACTTTATTGTTACATACGTTTTTTTTTTGTTTTAAATTAAAACGTTTTTCTTTATTTATATCATTTGAATAGGCCTCCGGTGTTAATCAAACCGAAAAAATTGTACTCAAACCAAAAAAGCCACAAGCAGAGGAAAATGAATGTGATATCTGTCGTGCAAATGTGTACATTTCATGGATTCGTTGTGACGATGACAGCATCTACTGTTTACACCATGCCGTAAAATATTTAAAAAATAATCGCATACAAGCCAAGCAATGCAAGCTACTATTTATGTATAAAAAAGAAGAAATCGAAGATCTTATTAACAAAGTCAATGAAAAGATAAATCAACATAAGAAAAAGATTGAGAATAAAAAATAAATGTGTAGCGCCGTGTAGCGCCAACTTATGTCAGTTGCCATCATTGTATAAATTCAGCTAAATGATTGTATATAATATTAAAACAATATTCATAAAATTCTAATAATTATATTTATAATTGTATAAATTTGCCCGTAATTTCCATTGTGTTATCGTCGAAATTTCGTTTATTTCAATATTTAAGTGAATTTATAAACAAATATATAAAAACAATGAAATTCGTTATTTTTTTTTATTTAAACTTTTGGAATTATATACAATCAAATGATGGGTGGTAAGTTTCCTTTCGGATATTAACAACAGTTGCAATTAATGTATATTTTCTAACATTTCGTATAAATGTTTTAAAAAAAGGAATTCGGAAAAAATCTTGAATTTTGTTCAATTTTTAATTATCAATTTATCCTATCTCATTAATAAGTAAATATATTTCGGATTCATTTTATTTCTTATGAAATCTAAATGAATTCTTTATCACAATAAAAAACAATAGAAGAAGAACGACTGTTATTGCATGTAAAATCTGTACAACTTCAATGTTAACATTTATTTTTATTGTTAAAATCCGCAATCTTAGATTTTGTTTTTGAAATCGAATAAAAATGAAAAAAATGCAACATAAAAAGACCATCAAAAGGCACTAAGATGAGCAATGGGTTAAAAACTGGAAACTAATTTTGTACATGATTCAAAATATTGGCATGTTGATACACATATAGGTAGATCATTCGATTTCAATCACATTTTTCATCGTTATTTTCCTCGCCATCAATTGAAAAATTGGAACTCGTTTCACCAAAATACTCGGATGCTGCAAACGATTCAACTGGTTTATAAGTCAACACATTGTCATGTGGACATTCCGATCGATTTCGTTCAGTTTTTACGATTTTTCCTAATAGTGGTTTGAAGAATCCTTTGATGCCAGTATCATTGTAGCCAAGCTCCTCTTCTGCTTTGTTCATATTTTGTTCAAGTGCCGTTATATCATGGTTGATACGATCTAACATTAATTGAATCTTATCGATTCTCTCCGAATATTGTTGAATCCCCTTTTTACATTCAATAATATTTGGGATCGATGTTGATGCCGAAATATTTTTTATCTATATAATACATAGACATTTTACACCATTACCATTTCCATTAAATGTATGAGAAAAATATTTGACTTACTATTGATATGGACGATTCGAATTCATCCATTCGTATTAATATCTCATCAATATTCGTACAAATTGGTCCAATCTGAAATATATGTAATACATTCATTCATCTAAACTAAGAAAAGTAGTTTAAGTTTAAGTAGTTACCTCTTTGCTAAAATCAATTTGTCGTAAGAAATTTACATAGTCGTCCGCTGTTTCCTCAACCATTTTACACTATATCAATATTTAAAATATTTTTGTTTTGATGACAGTGAAATAATTGATAATAATCGAATCTAATTTCGAATGATGATTATAACTGCGGTAAAATAACGCAAATAAAAACACACATTTTTAAAAAAATTAAATTAAAAAAATGTCAAAAATCATACAAATCGAAAAATGTTATTATTTATGTGTGTTGAATGAACATTAAATTTTGACATTTCATTGAACTCATCCATCAAGGTGTCGTTGCAGAGACGTTGTTTTTTATTTGACGATGGAAATACTCAACATACCGAATGTGTCAACATTCAGAGTTGTCAACGTCACCGATGGATTTTAGTGCAAGGTAGATGTAGCAATCGCACAGTTTACGCATACATCTGATCAAAATACTTCAGTTTGCTAACAGGTTTTATTTTTCGTGAAATTTTATAAAATCTGTGATATTGGTTTAGCTGAACCACAATCAAAAGCAAATACAAATAGTAAATAGCGTTTCTATTTAAAAATCGACCTTTTTGCAATAATAAAAGGTACTACGTTTTTGCAAACAAGAAAAAAAAACAATGTAATTCAAATTCAATACAACAACAAAATTCCAAATTATTTTCAAGATAAACAATTCGGTGATTTTGAAGCATTTCAAAACCAAGTTCAATTGACAGTCATCGAAACGATTACATACACGAATATATAATATCTACCGATAAATTTCGTAAACGTTGCACACGTAAATAAATTTACACAAATGCAAAACAGGCAATCACCATAATAAAGTGAGACATTCAAACATATGTGAACGATATGAGTGTAAATACAAACAAGTAAATACAAATCAAAAACCAATAAAGTCTAGAACCATCAAAAACAACAAATAACCAAGACATTTGAAAATTTACGCAACATATTTTTCTTTTGTCGATGGTCATATGGTGCAGATGTTTATGTGAAAGTGATACATATAAATATTCATCGAAAAGGAGAAACGCATTCGAGTGAGTGTCGTGTGGAAGGTGGAAATGATGAAATAAAATGCTTGATAACGTGTCCATTTCAACACGAAAATGACGGAATCACGATATAAACAAATACCAATCAATCAAAACGTGCACACAGATCAAGAAGATGACGGAGAAGATGAAGAAGACCTTACTGACACTTTAGATGATGACACAGTAACCATTATACCTACAAACGATTCAGACGAATTTAATTTTCCAAAAAAAATCAACGAAAATAATAACATGCAAACACCCACAGGCATTTTAACGCTGTTATTGATATATTTCATCTTATCAATTGGGCTTACGTTCTACCAAAGGAATTTATTGAAGGTAACATTTAAGCGGTTATCTCTTTTATTGACTCAGTATTTTATGGCTTAAGAACAAAAAAAAAACACACACGCATACTACGAAATCTGTTTATTAACTTGCTAAAAAAAACATTTTGCTCTACAGGGTTTTCACTTTCCGTTCACTGTTGTTCTATACCATTTATTATTGAAGCTAGTCATGGCGGGACTGATAAGATATCTGTATAAGTCTATTACTGGAAAGTCTCGCGTGCATATCGATTGGAAAAAGTCATTCAAAAAATTGGCACCAACAGGTGTGGCGGCCGGAATAGATATTGGTTTCTCAAATTGGGGTCTTGAGCTTGTAACAATATCACTGTATGCAATCAAACAATGCATCACACGATTTACACAATATCATTTCATGTTTCGCATTTTATTTATTTTAGATATACAATGACCAAATCAACGTCTATTATTTTCATTTTATTCTTTGCCATTCTTTTTGGTCTCGAGAAAAAGGTAATTTCAAGTGATAACTATTTCGATAAATGCGTATTGGTAATCAATGAATTGTTTTTTTTTTTTCTCAATTTTCAACAGAGTTGGCTGTTAATGGTGACAGTTGTACTCATTTCTACCGGTCTATGCATGTTTACTTATAAATCAACACAATTCAATACGCTTGGATTCTTTTTTCTCATTTTTGCATCAATGATTAGCGGCATCCGATGGACGTTTGCACAGCTTATAATGCAAAAATCAAACCTTGGATTGCATAATCCAATTGATATGATATATTTTATGCAGCCATGGATGATTCTACCAATATTACCGTTAATCATTGGATTTGAAGGTTGGTCTATATTTGAAAGGATACCCAGTGCATAAATGTAAATGTTTTGTTTTTCTCCCCTTTGAATGTAGGCGAGGCTCTATTGAAACTGGCCAATGGTTCAGCCGAAACGGGGTCGCCCGTTATGATTTTATTGGCACTTAAAGTAACATGTGGTGCATTTATTGCATTCGCTATGGAAGTTAGCGAATTTCTTTTACTATCATACACTTCGAGCTTAACGCTTTCAATTTCTGGCATTTTTAAGGTAAAAAATATATATTATAAAACATATAAACATTTGCACATGGCCGGTTATAAGACTGCAATTCTTTTCACTAAAAATTTACTTGACTTTTCGCTGGTTGATTTTCATTTTCAGGAAATTTTCCAATTAGCGTTGGCCGTTGTATTCTATGGTGATCAAATCTCAACCGTAAATATGTTTGGATTGGTGATGTGCTTAAGTGGAATAACATGTCACATAATTCATAAATTCTTCACCACAACAATTGTTAAAAAAAGTCCATTAATTTCGGTTGATGGTGTGGCTTCAAAATCATGTGAACAACAACTTCAAGTAAACTATGTGAACGGCAATGTTATTAAGCAAAATGTAAAATTAAACTATTATTCCAATCAAAATACACCGTTGCTGGACAGCGACGACAATGAACTTTCCGGTTCCGATGACTCACAAAATACACAACAGAATGCTTCAGAAGTGCTTTTTGACATTTTAAAGCGTCGTGATATGCGTAGATGAATTATATTGATGCAGAGGCAATGCCTTACATCAATAATTTCTAGGGGAACCAATTACATGGCGACCGAAGTGATAATTAATCGAAATTGCCGTGTTTTTTTTCTTTTTGGTTAGATTAAGCATAAAAAAAATTGGTGTCCACTTAAAAATTCCAAATTTGACGACAATTTCACAGATTTTGAAGTCTGACTACTATCGTGTATATAATTCTATTGATAGGCATTGGAACTCGCATTGGAATCTTCAATATTTCTATATACACTGTAGTTTTTGCTAATACACTAATTTTAAAAATAAAATATTTTCAACTTTTTGAATAACATTTTTTATCACTTCAGACGTTAAAACTGTCTATCAGTTACGCATTTATATTTTTTTCGGTTGAAAACATTATAGATATATGTATTTTGACAAATGTCTACGTTAGGAAATTTTTCGATGTAAAAATAATCAACCAAAGTGATTTAACCAAACTCTAGAAGAATGTTTTACTTCTTAGAGGATGATAACTTTTTTTTTTTTTTGAAATGAAACTAATTCCATTTTGTTTGTAAAAGAGCAGTTTATGAATTATTCAGACAAAGCATTTAACCAACACAAAAAATCAGTAAATTTCCTCTTAATTTTTTTTATTAATTCAAGCATTGTTTTGTTGCCAGAAATATCGAACATTGAAATTGTATGGAAGTCCACGAAAAATTGAGTTGGTCGCATTGAATGTGAATTGATTTAAATATAAAACTTGCAAATCGAATCGAAAAATTTCGTGTTGAGAAAGAGCGAAGTTTCTTCCATTTGACATCTTGATTCGAGAATCTTCACTGTGATGATTAGTATGTTTGTTAAAATATTTAGTATGTTCCAAATGAAAACATATTTTGTACAGTTCTCCGATAATGAATATTGTGAACTTTTTATAAGTACTTCTACTTAACATCACGATAAAAGCATCATCGCTTACATTTTTTTAAAAATAAATGCTTAAGTTCTCTTAAAATGGTTGTTTTACGTTGCTTTTTTTTATTTAAATTGTATTAATTATTTATCATATTTATTTAAGAGCTAATGTAAAAGTTTCACTAATTCCAACTACTGGCAAAAAAGGCATATTTTTAGGAAGATACATTTCAAATTTGTTATTTTAAGAACTGCATCTCAACAGAGACTATCCAACTACCACCTTTCAAAAATGGATTTGAAATAAATCCGCTGTAAATTTTGAAAAATTCTTCTAACGAAGACTTTTTATGGAACTAATTTTTTTTTGAAAACTAAGACCATTTCGGTTCTAGATTCTTTATGAAAATTTTTCGAAATTGGCTCTGCCTCCTCTCCTTGGAATGACAACCTCAGAAGCTATAAGCATATGGCCACAAAATAAGTTTTTATAGACATTTCTGATGATAATGATTTCGTTTTTAGTTTTAAGAAAATAATTATAAATTCATAAAAGAATTATTTATGTGATTGTGTGAATTTAAAATGTATTTGTTATGATAAATAAAAAAAAAAATTATAACTTCTTTTAAATGAAAGGCATTGTTTAAATTTATACAAATAAAATGGAGTATGAATGTTGTCTTGAAAACAACAAGAATCCATACTTCACATGGTCGAACGGTATTTTGCTTGGGCGGGAGTGTACTATTTCTGGGGAAATCATTTCTGAATAGTATTTCTGATAATTTCTGAATAATAATTTGTAATAATTAAAAAAATGTGTATAATATTTTATATTTTTCGACAATTTTCGGATTCGTGAAGTTTGAATTAATTTAGATTGAAATGAGATAAATTTTCCATTGAAAATGTTTAATTGTTAAAATTACCTTACATTTCAAGTATGTGGCTTAAACTGACCTTTTCAAAGATATTTGGGAACAGGAAACATTAGGTCAGACGGTAATCACAGAAAGGAAAAACCGAATTGCTTGAAAGCCCTTAACTTGATAATTTTCCACTTGCCTGTCAAAGAAATAAAAAAAATTTCAAACATTCTTCGGAATATTCGTACAATTATTAGACGCTGTCTTATGCATTGTATGGTGGCTCGCCGTAATAATCTAAATATGAATAAAACAATCTTTATTTTTTAATCTTTCGTTTTATTTACTCACTGAATTTGCAATGATCGTTTCTTTTTTTTGCTATCATTACTTAAAAAAATTCACACAATTTGATTTCATCAAAATTCAATATCATTTAAAAAAAATTGTTGTAATTTTTAACTGATTGGTTTTTTTTTTCATCGAAAATATTTTGCTTTTTGTTTTTGAAATCAGTTCATACAATTGGATTTAATGTTACATTTTATTATCAGATAAAATTTCAATTGCCTTGTAAATTGTTAATGTTTCTGTCCACAAATTTAAACAGAGGAATAAAATTAGAAAACATTATCTTTAATTTTGTGATTTATGATGTGAAATGTCATTCAAAATCTTATATAGAGAGAATCAAACGAACTTTTTAGTGTGTTTTAAAAAACAAAAAAAAAAGAACAAAATGGTTGGAAGATTTTTCGCTTCGCTTCGTTCACCGTAAGAATGTCAGTGTTTGCACAAACACAGCAAAGCATTCCAAATATGTCACTTCTTTTATCATATGTATTTTTCTCAATAAATTTTTGTTTTTGTTCCAAAATTCCATTTTATGTTGACAACCATTTTCTGTAATTTACTGTAAAGTGAATAAAATTTAAATGAAAGACTTGATAAATAACTTAATTTGACACAATATTTGTTTCTATGTTCTTTTTTTTATTATTTTCAAAATTGTAAATTCCAGTCCAGTCCCGCTGGATTTCTGTAACTTTTGCATTTTACACATACATTTCCATAAAATATATTCCATGCGAAGAATTTTTCATAAGCTGATGTTGCACATGGAATATTATAGAAATGATTTCTTATCATTGTTATTGTTATTAATATAATGTGTGCTTTCGGGGGGGATGTTCTGCAAAATTATTATTACTATTATTATTTTTTTCAATAATATTTCAATAGCCAAAGAAAAGCTTATTGTTGTTTACTATTTGTGTAATATTTATGATGTTATTTGACAAGCACTCACAGAAAAAAATCCGGATATTTTGAACCCAGAAATCGGTTTAAATCACAGCGGAATGATTTCTGGGTTCAAATTAACCGAAAAACCGAAAAATCGGATAAGATTTAAATTTGAGACTTTCAGTGCGACTTGAATATGTATTTCTCTCACAGTTTATTTGTATAATGAAAACTGGAAAGATCTTCAAATCGATCGTCGGATCCACCTTTTCCACAAGATTCATGTCCCGATCATTTCTTCGCGCTCACTCTCATACGATATCACAGGGGGATATTATGAGTAGTGAACGGGATGATATTATGAGTAGTGGATCTTGTGGAGGAGGTGGATTCGACCTGATTCAAAGTGGGTCAAGACCGATTTCCAGCTCAGGTCATCCGGTTCACTACTCATAATATCCCCGTATGTTATCGTATGAGAGCTTGTATGAAAGTGAGTGGGAAGAAATGATCTGGACATGAATCTTGTGGAATAGGTGGATCCGATAGGTGAGAGAAATACATATTCAAGTCTCACTGAAAGTCTCAAATTTAAATCTTATCCGATTTTTCGGTTTTTCGGTTAATTTAAAACCAGAAATCATTCCGCTGTGATTTAAACCGATTTCTGGGTTCAAAATATCCGGATTTTTTTCTGTGAGCATACTTTGTTCGCGATATATTTAAAAGAAAATCCAACATAAAATGATTGGCAAAAGAGAAAAATATCGGTTGAACACACTGTTCTTCAGGTGACAAAAAATGCTAAGAAATAGAACATTCTCTGGTATTTCTTTATGATTTGTGCTCTATGCAGTAGGCTTGCCCATTTTGTAAACTGTACGAGTAAAAATGAGTGACAAATGTTTGCTGTTGTTATTTAACACGTTAATATTTCTCATCATCCACACTTTAATTTCATATGGTATATTTTAAGGTGATTTGATATTTTACCGTGATAAAAATGAAACAACTTTAAACGATGGCATCAGTCATTTTTCTCGGTACATAAAAATGTCCGAGCTACTAGTATGTTATGTCTTTTTTTTGCGAGTAAACATATTTCTTGACTCGTTTTGTGTTTACACATTTTATACGTAGAAGATTATATTAAATCCTAAGTAAAGGAGGGAAATTGAGTTAAAAATAAGCTCGGAAACAAAGGAAAACATTTTATTGCGTTCAGCGCAACAAGAAGGTTTCTAGATGAGTGAATTAAAGAGAATGGTCTATGTTCATTACATCATTTGTTTGGTAATGTTTTTCTCATATATATTTTTTTTTTCATTGACTATTATAAATTTTCAAAACATGTACACTTAAATTTTGTTCGCTTGCATTTCTAATGCTGATTTTGTTTAGATACAATTTTCTCTATTCGGTACATTCACTCCATTCAAAGTGAACTTTTTTCACATCACTATCAAGCGTTAACGATCCGTTATTTTCTTCGATATGCTATTTATGGTCACATTATCTTGAATCACTTGGTATTTATTTGTATATTTTTCGGTTTTTTTTTTCTTCATTTTTTACGCTATAATTTTCATTATATTTTATACAATAGTACGGGATGGATTTTATCCCGAATATATTGGGAACGAAACTGGGAAATAATAATCAGACATATGTGTTATCTGTCTCCGGATCTGAGGTGTTGAGCATTTTTTTTCATTTGTTGTGTTAAATTTATTGGAATTGTTGTGGTTATTTCATTGTCAATTTATGAAATTATGATGTGAGGAAGGTTCCACAGTTTCGTTCGTGTGAATAGCAAATATTGTCAAAGAAATTTGTTGCAAATAGGGACGAAATGACAAATATGATAATAATTGTTTTTATTTGTCCATCCTTCCTTTCGAAATATATAATTTATTATATTGCAATGGATTTGAGACAATAATTACGAGAATAAAATATAGATTGCATCGAACGAATGCATTTATATATACATACGTATCTGGTTATCTCAGCATACAAGTTTATTCACATATTTTATGAACGTATTCTTTTCGCAAATTTTAAACTAGCTACATTTCAATCAGAGACCAATATTTTTCTTCTTGACAAATTTTTGTTTTATAAAAATGACATGGTTGCAGTAAATATTATTGGGAGAGATATCGAACTAGGTCAATGCACGATACGTGGATTCTATTGTGGTGCCAAGATTGCTCGTCAAATGCAAAGATTTTACTGCGTTACCATATATGGGCGCAAAAACCAAGGAAGCCGTAAGATGTTAAATCTGTAAGATTAGCGGTACTAATTGCATTAATTACGGTAAAAGAAATTTGATATTCGAAACGCAAAGTTTTTCCTTCTCATCATACACGAGTTTCATTAAATTTTAAACAATATTCAAATAGAAGAGTTAACTGTACATTGTGCACGTCATCTTTAAAATTACAGGAATATAAAATTCAAAAAAATAGTTTAACCAAATGTTTAGTGTACGATTAACTGTGTTAGTGTCGCAAATCTTATAAATTTTGTTTCTAAAGGCGGCAAAAATAAATTATTTTTAATTTTTAACTTGTTCATTTTGCAAAAATCCAGGAGCAAACATAATTTCATTGATTGCTTAGTATAATTTATTTGCTGGAAGATCATAGGATCGGACATTTCTGGTGTTGGATTGAACGCTAGGTTCCGAGGGGTTGGATTACCCCTTATGAGGCCTTCTTCATCAATGACCCTCCCATTAAGAAAATTCGATCAGCCATTTTCAATGGCATTTTTGTATAGATAGATTGAGTCTTATATTGATTGCAATAATGTAATACACATCGACACCATCAATCTGAATTGAATCAGCACAATCATTCTTACGCTCAAACTAGTTTACCCTTTCCTTGAATGTCACCTATGTTGGAAGATACTTTTAATAGATGTATTGAGAAAAAAAACATGTATTTACAACAAATAACTGACCATTCAACGGCAGCAGTTTGACAAATGCCACCATTAGACCCAACCAGTTTTTAGGTCAATCAATATTAAACTTTAGAAGAGTTCAATTTTCAAAATTATTTGCGATTTTTATGCATAGTTGCACTCATGTATATATGATTCATCCTCCTTAAGTATTCTATTTAATTTTGGTTGAAACATCAACTGAAATGAATTCGCTTCTAATAAGCTCATTCTTTTATTTCATGAAAGCTACGTCTTCTTTTCTCTATCGATTCATCTAAAAGTTATGTTTGTTTTCACCAAAAAAAAAAACGATCGGAAAGAAAAGAATGTTCATGTCTCATGTTTACTTTGCTTTAAATAACAATTATAACGAATTCAATTATAACACAGAATCAAAAACACGTTCATTGAATCTACATATTTACTCATTGATCCTAATATTGACTTTTGCTTTCCGATTTTTTTTTTAAATTTAGTCTGTTGTTTTTTGTCTTTCAATTTTCTTTAAATATTACTTGTATAAATTAATATTCCGATAGAACTACATATTATATTTTGTTCTTTTATTCACATTTATTAAATCTTTCATCAACACTTTGTTTCGTGAACAAAGAAAAAGTCTTAGTCTAAATTTTGTTCCACCATGAACAATGTCATCTAATGTCGGTATATTGAGTTATTTGATTTGCATCTTTAACAAGACAATTTCGTCGGCAATGGAATTGATGTCGGAATTCTCTTAACTCTCACGTTTGGCTTGGATTTTTAATATTATTTCAAAATCGAAATCAACTCGAATCAAAATTAATCACATTGATAATAGACGAATGCATTGAGTACACATTTTGATTAGTATTGTATGCTCTTAATAACGAGCTGATTTAGATCATTTTAAAAGTTTACGCAAAAATCATATTCTTTGTGCGAATAAAGTTATGCATTTTTATTGTTCAGTTGATATATCGAAAATATGTTTTTAAACATTTTGTTCTTCAATCTTCTTTTTGAACAAAAGAATAAGCCCTTTCTGTAATCTGGTCTGTACAACTTTTTTAATTTGATGAATTTGATAAGAATGCAGGTAGACTTATATTGATTGATGAAAATAACCAAATAGCTGAAATATTCATACATTGTAAACAAATGCAATTCGAAAATTTCGAATAATATTTTGAATAGTATATTCATAATGTTATTGTTTGTCCATTTAAATATGCATTGAGTTTTACGAATTATGTACTCACTATAGTACTTTGCGCAAAATATCTTTATTTTATTTACATTTGCGTTGTGGCTTCTCTGTAAGCATCTGGATTTTTTTGGTCGAAATGGAAAGTCTTGTTGCAAACATAGATATTTTGTCAAACCATCTGAGCGTACATTCAAGAGTTTGTATGAATAAAATCAATATTGGTATCAATGGTCCAAAGAGATTGCCATTTATGTCAAATTCCTAATTCGGATCACCATATAATATTTGTGGGATGGGGGACTTAAGATACACGATATAAGACGATCTTATCAAGAATTAAACCCCATGCCGTTTAAGAAGCTTTCTGTTTATATATATAAGCCTCCTCCTCTTTCTTATATGTATGTGTCTCAATCGCAAAATATGCATACCCTGTTTTTGCGTCGGAGCTAATTTCGCATCTTCGTGGACTGTGTACTGTTTTATTTTCTCTATATAAGTGATGCACATTCAAAATATATGAGCTTACTTACGTCGTAGAACATTATTGGGGAAATGAATAATCGAGCAACTTTCATTGAAATTATACTGAAGCAAAATTGAATAGGTTAGAATTAAAGTGACGGAATTTCCGTTAAAAACGAAATGGCAACAGAAAATTTTTGTAATCACAACAAAAACTCCATGTAAAAAAATGCATGTTGCCGTTTCATTTCCGGTGACCTTAATTTTAATCCATTCAATTATTATATGATTTATTAGTGTATTTTTTTTGGTTTTTGTTCATGGATAAAAACAGTTTAAAAATTCGAAAGTGGTCAGAGTATATGTATATATCATTGATGTGAAATCGTTGATACCATGGATCTATATTTCATAAATGTTTTGCAAATGGAAATTCATTTTCTTCTGTTGCTGTGTCATTTGTGATTTTTGTATATAATTTGCTCGGTCAATATTTGTTCATTCATTTGGTCCATGAGTTTTTAGAATTGTGGTCAAATTAAATTTTTCTGAGAAAATGTTTGATGTTTTGCTGACGAAGGGCTAAAATTCGCACCGGGCGAATTGAAGCTAAAAAAATTGCTTCAAAATTGATTTAAATCGTAAAGTAATTTGACGATTCAGAACTATGAAAGTAATGTTATGCATTATTTTGACCAATGAATTTTGATGCTTCTTTACTCTTTCTATATATGTGTGGTCCATACAGTATGGATGAAAATAATAATAATGATTTTAATCTTAGTTAGTACTATGTTATGATTGGTTAATTCTGCAAAAATGGTTTCGGCAATGGATTTGGTGTGCACAATACTTTATGCACCGCTTTCAAAAAAATCAGATGTGTTTTGCTTTAATTCAAAAAATAAAACGAAATAAAATGTTTGAATAAAAAGTGCATACATTTTTTTTAATATTGAAATCGTGTAAAATAAGATTTATTTCAACAAAAAAAATATAGTTTCAACAAAAATGTCAGTTTTTTTTTTCAATTTTATCTTAAAAGAAAAAAATCAAACCATAACAACAACGCTCACAATAAAATGCATGAACATTTTATGGGTAAGCATCATGAAAACAAAAAGGGACTTATAATTTACTTTGCATCGCGCAAAATATTTATCTATTGCATTGCTTGCGTCTGAACATAAATAAATCTACAATCGAAACAAATCAACCGGCTAAGCCTATGAAGAGACAAAATGCGAATTCCCCTCATCTGTGCCATCTTGTATTCCATAGTTGAACTCAATTTAGTTACAATGAATTGAATCGAAAAAGAGAAAAAAACAACAACAGTAACATGGCTACATAGATCTGTTGACCAGTGAGATACGTATAGCAATGGAATGAAAGAATGAAGAAAGCGTATATGTGTATGTATGCATCAGCACGCATAGATGTACAGCTCTGTGTGGCCGTGCTATTGTTGTTGTTTTTTCACTTTTTCATTTCAATGCTACAGAATTAAATTCAGTTTTTGCATCTAATTCACACTAAAATCAGATGGCGCTCATTAGCGAGATTCGCAAAAAAAAGTCTCCAATCTCATACAAATATACACCGGCTGAAACAAATATTAATAATAATAATACATAATAATTAATACATAATAATAAAATAATAATAAAAATAAATTCAATAATGCAATATAATAAAACGACTAAAATGTTACAACTTTTACAAATTAAATCAAAAATTGCAATTCCTTTTCATTTGAATCAACGTTTTGCGACTTGTTTGCAATTTAAATACAAATAATTGTCAAAAAAAATTTGGTATATTTTTGCATCGGTATTTTTTCCATCACTTATTTAAATTATATAATTTGTGTGCATTTCTTTGCTGATTCAAGTATACGGGTCCTGCCCATGAACCATCTTAACTAAAATGTGTGTGTTTACCTCTTGTTTTTTTCTTCTTCTATAATTCTTTGTGTGTATGCTTGTGTTTAGTTGTTTATGGATTAAATGGTTTTTGGAACATGTCATTATTTCAAAGTGGATCGCTTTTGGGGGCGCTTCTTCAATCATTTTGGACAATCTTTACATAAAGAATAGAAATATGTACTTGTGATGCATGCTCTTCACATATTGAATATGTTTAAATGCGATGTATTTCGTGTATATTCCACAGATGTAATGAACTGTTTTGAATTAATATATCTATCGGCTCAGTGTGTGTTGCCATTTCCACTTAATATAATCTAGTGGCGCATCGATCCTAAGACAAAGAGAAACAATACCATTTCATATTTCATTAAAGAAAATGATACAAACAGAATGTAATGGTAACGATTAAGTGCTACGTTGTATACGTACTATATATAAATCTTACCTGAGTGACAAGTTGTGAGTACCTCAACAGGAAGTGAGCCTCTTCTACGTGAGAGCAGTAAGTCTAGATCAGATCGATTTTTCGTTGTTTCACTTCGTTTGAAACGATACCAGGGTGAACTTGAACTACTACTTGGTTCCGTCTCCGATACAATAGAACACAAGATCTCCGCACCACCAGACGATCGTCGTCTCAATGATTTTTTTCGATTCTTTGATTTCCCATTATGGCAGTTAGTTCGGCTTGATACCACGATGGTGTCGCTTGGTACGGAGCTACGTCGTTGACTTGTCACCATAGAAGACGCTTGTGGAAGATTCTGTTCGACGAATGACGCTATATTAATAATATTAATAATGCAATAATTGTTATTAACAGATGCGTGATATATGTCACAAATGTGAGTTAAAATGTTATTTATTTTTATTTTGTTCAAAAATGATATACTTACAATTTTTGAAACTATCGGATGGCATCGATCCACGGCGCATGAACATGTCACACGTTTTGAAAACGAGTGATGTTGCATCTTCCTGTGTGGTTTTCGGCGGCAATGCTACAGCGACTGGCGCTGAACCACGACGACGATTTAAGTTTTTCTTTAAAAAACTCGGATCTAAATTTTCCTTTTGGCCTGGATTTACAATTGAAAGTTTGGCCATTTTGCATCCTTTCGTCTCGGATGCGGTTGAATTTTGTTCTTTTTCACGTTTGAAACTGTCTTTTTTACTTATTCCTAAAACACCATGATTATCTTCAGTCTGTGATTCGGACGATGACGAATGACTTTCGACTAAAGTCTCCGGATATGTGCTGATATCACCAGTAGCAGACATATAGCGAGCTCTTTGATAGCCGTATGGCTGCAATGGGGGAAAAGTTTGTTGACGCACTAAATGCTTTGATGTGTTTGTGACGATTGTACTTGGCCCACTGCAAGAGCCATGCATCACACGATTTAAATGATCGGCACATGCGCTATTGCTCATTGTTGCGATGCTTAGATCCGGAACCAGGGTTTCAGCGCTTAAAGGACGCTCGCGATCAGGTACACTATTATCAGATGATTTATTGCGCGGTACACTATCACTATCTGACGATAAAAGTGAAAAGGAGTCAGCATCTAATTTTGCTTCGAGCTCTTCACGTATTGCGTCGCGAGACAATAAATCCTTGGTGGGCAAAATGATTTTTGGTGGGTTCAGTGGCATTGATAGCCGTCTGTCGTATTTTGTTGGTGCATTAGGTACTTGTAGAGAGCTTCTGCGTGGCATTTTCACTTTATCAGGTAGTAGAACCTCGGAGCTGTCGGATAAATCGACCGCAATGTCATCATCTTCTACTCCGTCAGCCGGTGTGTCATGTACAGATTCATCTTCTTCCAACACTTCGGCATCGGAAATTTCAGTTCGAGTCTCTTCCGCCAATTCGGCGGCAACACGTTTTTCCCATTGCAATTGATTGTATTTCAAAAAATACATCATTTTTGTCGAAAGTTTTGAACCCAAAAATCGATGCCATTCGTCAAATAATGGTGTCACAACAAATTTAAAAAATCCCACTTGTATCTTTGGAACCGACGTTGAGTAACGATCGCACAGCGACGTTACCGGTAAATTCAATTGACGCTCATAGTCGCCCTGTCGAAAGAACTCCTCACATACCTTTTGACTCCATTTTTTACTTATGTCCCATGGTCGACACGGGTTCGAAATGTCGGCACATTTAAGTGATATTTGTAAAATAAAGTGTCTGTCGTCCTGTTTTCGCATATCTAACGTATCTCTGTCGAGATAGTTTCGGAATTTCGTTAGAAATTCTTGTTGTCTGGTAATATCAGTTGCTAAAATAAGAGAGCTTATTTGTTTTTCCAATTGGGGCCGAATACTTTGGATCTGTTCAGCAACACCGCTTTCCAGTAAACAACCCACGGCCGAACGCCAATGATGATTTTCCAATACCGATGTGTTCTCATACAGCGCAGCCAGATGATTCGACGTAGCGATCAGAAATGGTTGATTCACACCCGGATGATCTAAGTCATGTGTTACAGCTCCAATTAACGAAGCCATTATTTCGACTGGTTCAAGGTGCTCCATAATTTTGGTCTCTTGAAGAAAACAATGCATTGCTTGTGTAACGTCAGTTGCATGTATTGAATTGTGATACGGATTCGTGCTATGATAGCCTTCTTCAATTAATGTAAATAATTTCCATAATCTAACTACGTCTAACTTGAAGTGGTCCAAAAGGCCATACCAATGAAACAAATGAACACATAAAACTGGCAGTGAACGACCTAAAATAGTTTTTTTTTTTGAGACAAAGAAACAATTTAGTTAAAAAATTTATCAAATTATTCGTTTTTAGTGTTTATATTTAGATTTTTATTAAACCGCATCACGAATTATTTATGGATAACAAAGACAATGTAGGTACTAATACTCGCCTCCAGTGACTGTTTCCAAAGTGAAAGCATTGAATTTCCAGTTGCCCACTTGATTGAGTATACACTGTACTTGACCGTGATGTATGTCGTCCAAGATGGCGGTGTCTTGTAGAAGTGAACGTGTGGTTAACTTCTTGCGTCGTCTCTTATGCATTGTGAGAAAGCGGCCAGTGCATGCAAAGCGACGACGGGGATGTTCTAGTTTTTCATCGGCAACTAATGCTTCAATTAAAGGTTGATCTCGGTCGGAGTCTAACATTCGAAATCGTTGGTTTTGCGATGAAGTGGCTGCACCACGGAAAAAAAAAAAAACAAATCAAACAAACAATTCGCAGTTGACGATGATGACGTGCACTGCACTATAATATACTTACGTTTTAAGCGAATGTATATAGAACTGTCTGTTGTTTCCATAGTAGCTACATCTTGAGCCTACGGTACGAAAAAAAAGAAGGAAATTGTTCATGAATTAAATTGCTAATACCTTACTTATACTACTTTGCGCTTACATCTTTAGAAAACTTGGAATCTTTCATATAAAATTTATCAACGGTAATCAAATAGTTTATTTTTAGTAAGTTTTTAAAATAAAATTTTCTATGATTTATTGCGCTTCCAAGCGATTTTTCCTAATAGCCCTCAAGGCTATAAAAGAAAATACATCTGTAATCAAATTACTGTTGATTATAGCCTATCCCTCATACCACCATTTAACTCAACGTGAAACATTTCTACGTAATTTACATTCAAAACTCTCAAAAGTTATTGGTGCGTTTTCTGTACTATGGAAATAAGAATGCAAACGAATTTCCAAATTTCATCATGTTATGATAAGAAATGGTTCATTTCCCCTTTCTAAATGTGCACGCAAATAAAAAAGTTCTTTTTTTTTTTACTTAACGCTTGCGGAATGATATACTTCGTATACGTAAAGGAAAAATGGGCTCTAGAAATGCTAATCATATATGATGTGTTTCGCAAAATTTTGGAATATACTGCGATTCTTATTCAAGGAAAAAAATCAATAGTACAATAGACGGTGTACATGTACATGAGCACTGTTGAAATCTCAAGTTCTTTTATCTATTTTTGGATATGATGGACGATTGGGAATAAAGTGTTTAATGTGTGGTTTTGAATTTTCAACACAGCTGAAATAAAAAGTGCATTTTTTATTCATTATTGAAGCAATTTCCATAAAATCACTTTTGAATACACCAAGTTTCAATTTCATCATTTTTCAAAGTTTTAAAGAACTTGTTTCATCACCATGTATTTTCCGATAGTTTTTCGTTCAGATTTGTAGTTGCTATAATTTATCGGACTAGTAAACGTTTCGAATAATCTAATTTTCAATCGTTATTTATATTTGTCATTAAAAAAGCGTCAAACCAGTTGCAAGGAAAAGAGAACCTGTTTCAAGACCGAAGAAGTATCATTTAGATTGAAGGTGAAGGTATTGATACATTTTTTTACAAACAAATTATAGAGTACTAGTGAAAGAATAACAAGAGTAATTTTGACGCAAGTGCATATGAAGAGTGATTCATTGTATTTTATTCCCTTTGATTTTGTGATTCCATGGTTCTGCAGTAACTTTGCAACGCACTATTGAAATCAATAAACGTTTTGATTTGTTAAATACTTTAGCATATTCTAATCATTATGATAACAATGAAAGTTCAATCGCATCCCGAATGGTTCATTTGCGGACTTAAACGGAGATGTTGCGGAGCTGTGTGGAGATAGACATGAACAGTATTGAAGAACATGCGTAAGCATAGTAACCATTGCGCGCACACAAATAAAGATTTACACTCGTCTGTTGTATACTGTTCACGCCTCTTGCATACTGTTCATATCTATCTCCACACAGCTCCGCAACATCTCCGTTTAAGTCCGCAAATGAACCATTCGGGAAATACCAATGGCGCCACCATCATAAAACACCAAAACTGAAAAATGAAACTTCAGTATGATGGTTGCCATAGTGTGCAAATGTTATCAGAATTGTTTGTCAGTGAATAATGATATGACTCAATTGCATGTTAACAGCAAGAGCAGTGGTACTTTAAATCTCTTTAACAAACGTGTTAAAAAAGTTTGAGACATTATGATTGATTGCAGTTGTGGCTTGCTTTCGAAACTTACGAAAACGCATTATTTCTGTAAATTAACATTTCCGTGAAAAGTCGGTTGATTCAAAGTGCATGTTTTGTTTTCTCAAAGCAAGCACAAATTAGACCAAATACGTATTTGAATTTTAATGTAAAAACAAATGCAATCGAAATAAACGAAACGAAATTGTATAATTTAACATTTAATTCACGGATCAGCAGTTGAGAACCAGGGTCATTAAAATCGATTTTGTATTCAATTAGCGTAGCCAAAATCATTTTTATTCATGTCAACAACGGCATCCATTAATCGAACCCAAATACGTTTGCCTTCTGTTTAATGATAACGACAGATGGATTTTGGCAAAAGAGTTTTTCCAAATGAAACATTACTTTTTTGGTAGAGAATACCTGTTCAATTTACGGTTTACATTTATTGCAAACCTTTCGTCAAAATCCGTTTAGTTTGTTCCACAGAATATAAATCGACATTTTATTGATTTAAAATGGTAGGTAGCAGTGAAGTTATTCGAGCTTGTGATATTCTTTTCATTCATATAACTATAATTTTTGCTTCAAAAACAAAACGAAATGTTTTTCAATTATATTTTAGCCCACCGTATTCGTTGATTATTGATATCAACACCAATTGAGATAGATATTTATTCCCTGGATTAATTTCCCACCCAAATTAACAAACACTTTAAAAATGATTGCTTTTTTTTTTATAAAAATATTCACAGCAATATCGTTCGTAATATTATTAAAATTTGGCACGTTTTCAGCGTGTTGTTGGTGTGTTTTATTCTTCTATTGCTCTATTTCGAATGAATATGTTAAACACAATGCTGATTTTGCCAATAAACAAATTATCATAACAGTGATATTTCGTTTTGATTATTTATTTCTCTCTTTCTAGCTTACTTCTCCACTTTTGACAGGATTTTGATCATATTTTATTGGTGTGCCGTTAGATGTTGTTCCGTATGCAAAATAGATCATATTATTATATGTGTATGGCACGGAAGTGATATGTTTCCTTTTTATTTGCATTTGAAAAACGTTCAAAATATTTTCATCTCGTTTCACATGTCAATGACATCACAAACAATTCATCATGGTGTCGATTTGTTTTTTAAAATAAAATGAATATATTTCAGCCGGTATGCATGTTCTATTGCTATGAAGCAAACTTCGTCGCTAGGTCATCAAAATAACAAAATCGCATTTTGAAAACGACGTCTTTCAGAATCCAACAGAGTTTACTCCTTTCGATTGACTTTAGTTCATATTACATTATTTGGCCACCAAACAATATGTGAACAGATGAAATTGACAGACAAATGAATAAAAAACAGAGGGTGGCTAGAAAGAAGTGCATAGTTCAGTATTTGATGAGTTGCTAATGTTGTAAAATTATTTGAATATCTTTCTTAATAGAAGTGTCAAAAAAAATTTCAGCTACCATACTGAAAAAAGAATTTTCTGAAAACGTACTTTCTTTGTTTTTTTGATGTTTGATGCGTGGAAAGTACATAATATATTTCGAAATTGCCACCAAGTTGGATATATTTACTTTGTTTTTAATCTCACGAATAGATCGGTGGCCTTGCAACTAGTTGTGTATACAAACAGTGTAAATCGATATAAAGATTTACACACTACTTAGTACATACTATTCGATTTCGAAAATAAAAAAACACACACACATTCCGGAGTTAGCGTTATTGAATCTTGATTCCAGTACTTTAACTATTCAATTTTTTCCATTGTTCGTATGCCACATTCTGCTCTAGTTAAACATTCAAATGAGCCATTTTATTGTGCCTCATGCCATTTAATTCGATGTTATGAATGCATTCACTTTATAAACAACTGCATATTTACTACAAATCCAGCTTCAAATGATGTTTTCCATACGATTTTGTCAACACACTTCGTTATTAATATGCAACAAATTAAATTTACATTTTACGGAAATTTGTTGTTGCATCGATTGCGTTAAATTAGTTTTTGAATTTGCAAGAGAATTTGTACTTCACATCTGTATTTATTCGATTTTATTACTCGAGTGATCACACTTCGATAATTGTTTTTATATATTTTTCATTGTGGAGAAGAAGAAAAAAAACTAGATCAAAAGAGAACAAATAAAAAAAAATCAAATCACGACTGATAGATAAATGCGATGATTGTGCATCGTTCAGAGAACCGATGGATGCAAAACTAAAGTGATGGCGTTGAGTTGTTGCTGCTTTAAAAATCCAATGTCTACTGAAGAGACAAAAGAAATGCATACCAGAGACAAATCAATGATATTTGTTGATTTATTTACTAGAAAATCTTGTTCATGAGTTTGTATGAATGGCGATATGTGTGCAACATGCGGTTATTAGTACAGCTTGTTGTTGTATAACATAGAAAAATCAACAGAAGTAAACAGCGATAAAAAAAACTGCTGAATGTAAAAAAAAAATGTCGGCAACGCGATACACCTATAGTTGGTGTGAATGTGTAAAAAATTGCAAGTTTTACAAATAACCACTCTTTTGTGATTGGATAGCGACGCACACGGAATGGCCAATCCATATATTTTGTACGTGCGTTCAAATGCTTACAATCTCAATTCTCACTCATTCTATGTGCCATTGTTTTTGACTTCTTTTTTATCGTATTTAATAAAGTTTTATAACATACGCGAACACTGCACCGTATACAGTGAGCGAATGAGAACGTGCAATACAACGAAACGAGATCGAGAATGAGAATACATTACAATATTAAAGAGTTTATCAAATTTTATTTCAGTGGTTTAATGGATAAATATTTATGTACTCGAGATATTAAATTCTTCAAACTAATTTTTCAGTTTATTGCCTTTTTTAAAATTAAATTAAGACTATTTTACAGGTGAATTGCACCCAATAGGTAAAAGGTCACACCAATTTTTAAGTTTAAGAATTACCGCAGACCGATGATTTGTGCACATTGAACAGCTATTAAAAAGAACTGTTTTTATGGTGTACACCGTACAACATTGATTTCAATATGGAATACAAACTATAAGCAACGCACGTAATGAAAAGAAACCAAAACAGGTTTCGAGTGTTTTGGTTTTTATACAAGTAGCAACATTGTTTTCTACACATGTTATGTTCTATTCATTTGCATTTGCTATATGATATTTGTGGAGGAGAACCTTTGACGACTCAAAAAAAAAGAAGATAAAACACTCATAAAAAATGATAAAAATACTCCATCAAATACTACAACGTGGTAATCAATACATCATTCACCCGATATAATCAAAATTGTAGAAATAAATAACACACAAAAAAACGCTATATATTCTAAACCAATCATCCAATTTGCGAATATCTCGTTTTATTTGCCGTTGGCACAATAAAAAGAGATTGAACTTTTGCAACAAATTCTCATTTCAAAAGTTATGTAAGAATTATCATTATAAGTAAACATATTAAGTATTATTATTTTCCAGAAAAAGTGAGGAAGCAGATGTTATGTGTGACTGAAGATCTCTATTATTCAAAAATTATCGAAGGGTTATCATTTTGAAGTTCATTATATGACAAAAATGGTCTGCGCTATGCTTTTTAGTGGCTGAATATTCATTTGAATTAGCTACATATCGATAGTTGATTTGTTGTATTATAAATAAACTTTACGTTGCAATATTATTTGATGAAAAATAAGAGCTATTTTTTTTGCCGCAACGTTTCATATGTAAGATGATTTAATGATTTACAATTCATGTGATATGGTAAGTGGTAGATGGTGCCATTCTGTCGAATTCCATGTTTTATGTCAAAGTTAACAATTAACCGATACATAAGCTAAATACAAAAAAAAAGTGAAAAACACAGAAGGTAGAAAAGAAGCATATTGCTAAATCAGGTTTTATATACACGTTCACAACTTCTCTCAGGTACAGACGTGTACGGACACGTCAAACAATTTGCGCTCGCCTTAAATCCACTTACATACATACATATATACGAAATAAAGAAAGAAAGAGAGAAAAAATGGCATTCGATATACTGAAGTCAGCTCGCAAACGTTCAGTCTATAAATTAGGCGCAAATATCGTACACATCGGTGTTCCTCTCTCAGTATTTTTTAAGGAAGCAATTAAATGTGCAAATTAAATTCTGAACGTATGCGCGTATTGTTCATTATCCATTTTGATATTCTCACCCGACATTCGTTTTATATATGTATATCGCGCTTCTCTTTTCTGTTGCTGTCGCCCAACACACAATTTTCATATTCCGCACGGCATACACATTGTATCACATTTTCATTTTCTTTAATTTATTCCTCCACTTCAGTGGAGTACGCGCGCAAATCTGAATGAGCAAATTGACAGTATCATGCGTTAAATACTGATTATGTATTCATATTTAATGTTAACGAGTACGGGAAGCAAATTACTGGTAATTTACTGGATTTTTATTGGCAACACACAAAGAAAGAGTGAAGAGCTAAGAAAAATGCAAAGAGCAAAAAAAAATATGAAACAATAATGGTTCGATAATAAACCTGAAATATTTTGCTCTCGTCAAATTGTACTAATAAATAACTAACGGATCAATTAGACGTTGAAACCTTTTGAAGTTTATGTGAATCAAAGGAACATTACATCATTTTCAAATATTTATGGTTTCATTTTTGTTCTTCGAATATTTGTGAAAAAGTGAAGAAGAAAATTATTCATAAAGGACATCTGCCACATTAAACAAATCGGATGAAAGATTTAATGTCGACAATAATTGATAAAAAAGACCGGAACATTAGCAAAATTAAGTACGAGTCTCTTCAAAACATGCGGAAGTTTCATTTGAATATTTCATTCTTTCATAAAAGACTATTTAAAGAAGATCGATTTATGAATATGTTTATTTGAAATTATGAATTATAACGATTCAATTCACATTGCGAATTTATTCTAATTTTAATGGTTGACGTGTCATACTGTGGTGAATATAAAACGAACACCGCACTTGAATATATAAAACCGATTGCACTTTCTCACTTTGAATGTCAGTATAATGTGCCTGCACCAAATAAAAAATCATCAGTCTTATAGCATAATATAAACTCAAGCATAATATTCGCTGTCATTTTTTATCCTTAGAGTATGCTCGGTTCTTCTTCAACGTGAGTAAATCAGATGATAAAATTTATAGAAAATAGTCTACTGCGTTATCAAATTCTTGATCAAAAATTCGTAGAAGAAAGTTTTTTTTTTTGATTATTTTATGTTTTCGTTGTGACAATGTTTCTCAATATTACGCACACAAACTCAATGACTTTATGATGTGTACGTAAAAGCAGATGTCAAGGCACTCCAGAAAAACAAGTCATTTTTTTTATCATCCCCATATCAACCGCACATGTATGGAAAGAATTTACGATGGGCAACATTAGGGCAAATAATTGAACTTAATTCCATCCAACACAGCACTTAATTAAATTAAAAACTTTTATTATTGTCGAAACGGAGGAGTCACGTTGATATCGAAAAACACTAAATACCAACGCAATTGTTTGCTGATGCTATACGTTTGGTGCTCAGGAATAAATGAAATGAACCGAAATCGTATGATAGCAATAATCAAACTTTCATAATTGATTAACCATAGAGAATGGAAAAGCTTTGTAATTAATTTTTATTGTTTGTTAGAATCAAGTACGAATATTGATCAGAACAGTAGTTCATTTAATTGATAACAACGCTGCACGCTTTTATTGCATGCAATCACTTAACCGGTCATTGTTTTATATCCATAAAATATTGTGTTTGCTCGTGAATTTGCCGAGAAAATTTGAATCAATTTTCCGCTAAGTAAATTCTCAAGAATTTTCTTACTTTCAACAGATGATTATGACTTCCATTCGATTTTATGATTGTCATATGAAGGCGAAACAAAATCACTCCCATATTGATATACTGCAGCCACATGAGAAAAAAAAGTATGCCCACCAAGTAAATTCGACAAACAAAAATGTGGACTCTTTTATGGGAAATCTCTAAGGTATTTAAATAAACGATGCGTTAAATAAGCGATGACTTTTTTCATGCGAAAAAGATGTAAAATTTATATTATGATTTGGCCTAAGAGAATTGTTATGTGCTTTTTCATCAGTACAGTCGTGTACAATTGTATCGTATGTTTCATACCAGTTTTTCTTTCATACGGACGACATGTAAAGCTGAACGCTTTTTACATATCACCTTAAGAATATAATTGTACGTTGAACGTTCTCAAATACGAATTAATGATGACAAAAATAATATTTTTCATGTATTATATTTAGTTTGGAAAATAGCATGGTGAAGTATGTTATTTTAACGAGGTGTTTTACAAAAATAAAGTATATCTTTTGAAGACCCCAATATTGAAAATGTTTCAAAAAAATTGAAATGTTTCTCAAACTAATTAAGGTGTCCAAGCAACGTTTTCAGAACAACTTAATGACTATTCTGTTTCATGAGTAAACAAAAAAAAAAACGGTTGTTTGTTTTAATTCAACAAGTAGCAATATTGCTGAAGTTCAATATACAGTCCAATAAGCTTTTTCGATTCGTAAACATGAATGCTCAAACAGTTATAAATAGAAAAAAAAGTGAAAGTGCTAAGAACTAAAGCGCTTTGTATTTATTTTTATTCGAGACCAATTCTTGGTAACATAAATTATTCGAATAGTTTCAATTATGCATATGATATGAATGTATATGCTTATTTTCACCGTAACAACGACGTTAGACATATAAATTACGTCATCGTTAGTGTTTTGGAATGAACGTCTTTATACGATTACAATTATAATTAGATAAACGTCGATCAATACCAAATATTTCGAAAATAATATTTATATGAACGTTTATTTAAAACTCCTTTCCGAAAATATTAATACACAATCAATTTTGTAATTCAAATCGAAAGACACAGAAAAACCAATAGATAATTAGGGTTACTGAAAGATTTTCCGAAAGTACATTTTCTCTCGATTCTGTGAAAGACTCGTGTTCTGTGATAACATTAAAATTTATGTGGTTTTTCGGAATGGATAAAATGTTGTGGGGTGGCGGTAGAATACGACACAAAATGTAACACCAACTCTAAATTAACAAAACTAGAGAATATTAGGATTATTTTTATACGTATTGTATATACGAAAAACAGTCAAAATGTTACTAGATTTTACTAGCAAAATACGAGAAGAAAATGAAGAAGCTAAAATAAAAACATGATGCAAATCTCATTCTCTTGATGCAAACCTCTTTCTGCACTCAAAGTCAATTTTTCCGCGAAAAAATAACATGAAAAAAGTGGTTCGGAAAAATTTTCTTTTTGACTTTCGAGAAATTGTGCGGCCATCGAAGATGGAATATAATTAGGAAGAGCGCAAAAAAATCATAAAATATGTTCTTTCAAGCAATCTCACTCGATTGAATTAAAATGAAATGTGATACTATCATTAATGAAATTTTATATTAATTAACTGATGAAATCTTCACAAATTCCAATGTTAAAAAGCATTGAAAGGAAAAACAAGGCCGATAAAAACAATCAACAACAGAACTTGATACTTTGAAATAATGAAACTTCTGATCATATGACTAAAATCTTTCCAAAATTCAAATAAGTAGGGGTTTCAATGTGTCTACTATACTATGATGACATTTTTCTAGGAGGTGAACAGCAACTTGATACTAATACCCTTAAGAAATTTTCTCATGTTCTTTTTTGGCTCAAAACTTTTATTTATGGTGGAAGTTTATTTTTTTTAAATTAGATTTCATTTCGCATCTGTTCATAATGAAAGAAATGTCAACTTTGTGAAATTCTTTTGATTGTGAACCCAACATAATCATGTACTACGCGTATATAGAAAGCGTAAATTTAGATTGTAGTGCATTTCAATTACAATATTTGAATGCTTTTGTGTATAAAAGAAACTTGTGATATGGAAAAGAAATTTCTTTCTCTTTCTTCGGCTATATGTCGAATGCATTCAAATCGATCAAAACATATACTTATAGATGAAAGCCTCTGATTTACATTTAAAAAATATCGAAATATTCGATAGATGAAAAAACACAAACTATTAACTGCCTTTGGATTTCTTTTGTGAATTACACTAAGACTAATATTACACAAACCAAAGTGCGTATACAGAGCTTTCAAATGGTTTGGCCCATTTAATTGACAAATATAAGGTAAACAAAAAAATCGTACAGTATAATTTGAGCGCAATTGGCCTTACCACATAAATTTTAGCTTGTGAAATATTGTTCATTTCTGCGCGTTTGCAATTGTTACTCACCTGAAAAGAAAAGAAAAATATGTTTAATAAAATGCTCAAATTATGCAAGAAAATATTTGATTTATTATATTGATTTGTTCTTAAAAAAAAAAAGACTGAGTCATCAGTGAAAGAAGTGAAATAATAGATATTTCTTCATTTCATCTTCAATTTATGCTCGTATCTTTAACGCTTGATTCGATTTTATGTCTGAACGATTTTTCTAGTCCAATACGTACACCACTACAGCATTATTTTACCAACATTGCCATTCTTATGCGGTAATGCTACAGGTAGTTTATTTCGAATTCCGACTAAATGACTGTGAATGGAAAATGTTGTACACGTTTTTATCTATGCGCAAACTGTAAATTACAATGGACTTTTAGAATAAACCACAGAAAATATTTATTATCACATGAATTTTTTATATTGTCCACAACAATTCATGTTGTTTAGAACATAATGTGAATGAATAAAGCCAAATACTAGGTCATTTGGCGTGTTGCCAGCCTCCAGCAGTGCAGTGACGGCAACGATTTCCAGATTTATGTGCTCTTTGACCAGTTCCAACTTTCATGTGGTTGCACATAATGGCTGCTTCATCTATTTATTTACATAAGTCTACAAAAATAATAATAAGTGTTGACCAAATATAATTATTTTTCCGCGTAAATCCCATTATTAAGCTCAAATCCAAGATTAATTGTAACTAAGATAAATGTTTGGCTGAACTTTGAAGTTAAAAAAGATCGTGTTGGCAAAAAAAGCGTTGCAAAATGTCTGCATCGTTTTAAATCATTAAGAAAAACGGCATGAACGAATAATTTGAATGTGAATCCTTTGAGCATGGTCTTATTAGTCATTTTTGTTGATAACTCATAATATATCAAGCTTCTGACCTGATACATTTCAAATGAACATGGCTATGACATCATCATAAAATGTTCAACTTTGTTCCGTTGCCTACTTTGTTCATCTGGAATCAGGTTAAATGATGACAAGTGTCATAATATATGTCCATCTCAAGTCAATTGAATAATTTATGAAGTGTATTTTGTGAAGATTAAATATCGTGCAAATTCACCATGGCAATGAGTAAAAATATTATAAATGCATGTCATTTAATTCAAATATTGCATTTCCGTTTCATTTTATCCTTTTTGTCCAACCCTTCATACAATCGGACATATCTCTCTGGTCAGCAGGTAAAATGTTATAAACGATTTATAAATTCATCATGCATATACTTATTGGATCCATTTGATGTTGAATTTAAGTCTTTGCACATCCCAACCACAAATGATAGAAACACGGCAAAATTCCACTTTCGAAGTAAGCCAACAAAAGTCAAAATCCATCTTGATGTACAAACATAACTTAAGATACTTTGACCTTTTACTGTATCAAAGCGGAGGAAAGTATTTTTCTTTTACCTTTCCTCTGCAAAAAAAAAACCAGTGCCAATGGCAATCAAATATTTTTGCTGAGCTTTCAATATTTTTACGTTGTCGGTGCCGAAAAATGTCACTGCACCAGACAGGGTCGAATAGCTTTTTATTCTGACTGGGAAAATAAAAAAAAACACTTTATTATTTATTTTGATTTTAAATTCCATGCTGAGCTTTTATTTATTTTTGGATTAAAATGCGACTTTTACAGTTAATCAATCCTGGTTTATTGTTGGTTTTATCTGATAAAAGCTTGTAAACTCGTTCACATAAAAAAAAATAACGAATAAATATTGTTATAAAATTAGATACAAGCCATTATCACAATGTGTCCATCAAAATAGATGTCTTTTTTGCCACACTTCTGTTTTCGATGTTTATATTAATAAATTGAAAGAGTAAGCCTGAATTTCAACGAAATCACAACGCTGACAATTGGATAAGAATAAACTGATCAGCGCACATATGATTCATAGTCAATCCTCACACAGGATAACATTTGTTTACAATTTTTAGACGATTTTATACTATTTTTGATTTGGTTATTTTCAGGTGAACGATCTCTGGCGAAACGGTTTGACAATAAAAACAAAAAAAAATTTCGAATGACAAAAAGCTTATGGTTTCAAACATTTAACTAATATTTCAATTTAACTTAAAAATAATATGCATAACTTCGGCAATGAAGAATCTAATAAAGAAAAAAAAAAACACGTAAGAAAGCAGCAAAACATCATCGATATGCTTGGCTTAGTTTGTTTATAAATTAGATTAATCGACCATGAAAATGAGTATTCACAACACCGTGATTTTTTTTATTATGTGTTTGAAATTCTATAAATGAAAATATGCGTGTTCAGACTAATCTGTGTATTGTGTTTTTTTTTTTTTGCTTGTTGGGTTGCTAAAACGGTGTCAGTGTAATATGTTTATGTTTTAATGGCCACATGCCATGCATACATATTTTCGGTTATAGCATATTCCACGAGGTTTGCTTGTTAATTTTTGTGTGAACAAAACTATTCACACTGTGTGAATATCAGTATGTAGTTCTGACTTCACCCCGTGATAGAGAAAAAAATGACGAGAAATGACAGTATTGTAACTAGATAATTGTTTATTGTACCCGAAAACAAAACTTGACACACATACCGCAACAAAATTAACGACTATAAAACTGTCATTCAATGTTAAAATAAAAATGATCTAGAACGCCGAAGAATTTTGTTTTCCTATGTTACAATATGTTTGAGTATAAAGTTTTAGTTTGGTCAATCACTACTAGGCTATCGTTCCAGGTCTTAGTTACTAATTACGGCACTAATGAAATCAACATTTGTATATGTACCTTATTAGTCTTATTGTTTGTAGTTTTATAAAAAAATGTATCTTATTTGAAGCATGTCACCAACAAAGTGCATCGCCAACTAATTTATATATAAAAACCTCGTTTCAACCGCTCCGAAAACGTTACTCATCGAATAGAAAATGATGATTTGGTGCGCTCCCAAAATGGATCAATAAATTTGACGTAATTGCGTTAATAGAAAACAAATGTAATTGAGCTGAAAACTGGAAAACAGCGCTGGCCCTGTGCCAGATACTATCTTTATTGTCCGATTCAACGAATCCTTATATATATATTTTTTACTCATATTATGATGTTCATTTCAAAAGATCCAATGACACATCACAATGACGATGCATTCTTGAAAGAAAAACAAAAATCCGAATTTCATTTAATTTTGGAAAAGTGGATTCTCGAATGTTCATATTACAAAGGACCACGTTGAGCTTGGCTTCATAGTTCAATTCTCCACTTGCATTTGATTTCTATAAAAAGAAGGCTCAAATGGAGTCGCACACCCAATCATAATGCAAGTGAATGATAACGAAAAAAAAGAACTTACGTTGTGAATGTTCGCGATTCAATAACAATAAAATTTGGACTGCATACTTTGCTGTAGTCGAGTTGATAATTCATCTAAATACATGATTTGAATTATGGGTTAAAAATAATTCTTTTGTAATAATTACTTATCGTAAATACAATTCAAACGTCTTTCGCATTGCATTCATTATGCAATGTTTTATTGTTTTGAATCCGAGCCAAATGAAGGCCTTCACAATCTGAGCATCTATAGTTCAATGCAATTCAATTCAGAGTTCAAAAGACTATATTTGTGCCACGATATGAACGCACTTGTATTATTTGTCTTTATTTCACTTTACCAATCAGCATCTTATGTTATCCTCGACTAAGAATGAGCATGAATAGACAGGTCGGACTCTTTTTTCATTCTGTTTCTTTTTTTTTTCTTCTCTTTTTTTCAATGAACACTTTTTGCATTGACGCCGTTATAATTCGGGTTAAAAATAAAAATTGGCAACGTACACAGAGTATTGTTGTCACCATCGATCTAAAATATTGGCATGAATGCCAGAAAAAGAAAAAATCGAAGTGAATAGCTACATGGAACGCTATGAATGGATTGAACTTTATATGGTAGAGCACATCGTTGTTGAAGAAGAAAAAAACGGACACACCAAGCGAAAATTGAGATGGATGAGTTGAAAATGAAGAATAAAAGGCGAAAAGAAGCTTTAAGAAATACCACACTCAAAGTGGAACAATTAAATGTTGTGTATTTGCCAAGCATTTTTAGTTTATATCAATTTTTTGAGTGTATTTCAACCATACCCTCTATTATTCCGCATTCTTTCAGGGTACGGAAAGAGCATTCATTCGTTTGTTGTACTCATTTATTTTGAGAATTTTAAATAAAACTATCGAAATACATAAGCACATTTCGAATTAGGAAATACGAATAGCACGTACACAATTTTACACTGCTTTCGGTCATTGATCAGCTACGCACTAATTGAATTCTGCGCTGTGGATAGTCTTTTTTACCAGTAACACACAAACCACAACGTTGAAAGAATTCATCCTCAATAAAAGTGTTTTTTTTATATGAAAGAAAACGTCTCTTGTTCAAGCGCTACTTTTATTTCTATTCCCTTTCGTAATCTTATTCCTTTTGCCATTTTCTTTGGGAGGTTTTTTCTTTGCTTCGTTCTTATTCCGTTTTGATTGTGATACGTGACGGTAAACGGCTTCTGGTGGGTGCCTTTGCTGAGGCAACACTCATTTTTACTTTATTCATTTGATGACGCTCTTTGCAAGATTGTTCCATTTTAAAGTGAGTTCTATCTATTCCAAAATTCTGCTGTGAAATGTTCTATTGAAATCATTTTACGCTTCACAAAACAGTTAACTCTTCATTAACTTATATTTTGAAATGTATGATGCGCACTACTTGTTCTTGAATTTGATTGTTGGATGCCTCTCTATGAATGCCCTAATTTGTCTTCACAAACTCACCACACACACAAAAAAAAATGTATTTTCCCATTTTCTATTCATCTCTCTTTTCCTTTTCATTTTCATTTTGAGATAATTAAACGCTCAGTACAGCGTTTTCGAGTGCATTTTCAACATACAATTTGCAGTAGTATATACATCCAAAGCATAATATTGTTATGTTTTATTTTCATCCCTCAATTAAT